TCCAGCATTTATACAGGGTGTAGCTATAGCTGCAGCTCTCAAAGGGGAGACATACCCTCAATATGTACAGGCTATAGGACAAGCCAGCAATACTACAGGTAATAAAAGAAATATGAACTGCTACTCTTGTGGCTTATCTGGGCACTTTAGCAGAGAATGCCCAAATAAAAATAATAATACTCAGGCCAGATGGCAAGCTCCTCGACAGCCTGGAAATACATTAGGGAATAATATTAATCCTCCAAAAACCGTTTGTCCCCGATGTCAGAAAGGATTCCATTGGGCAAAGGAATGTAGATCAAAATACCATAAAAATGGTCGGCCTTTAAACTCTACAAATAGCTCCCAAGGAGGTTATATCCCATCACCTCAATCGGGAAACTTGAGAAGGGGCCAGCCCCAGGCCCCTGCAATAATAGGGGCATCAACCTTCAACCCCTTTGCAAATTTCGATCAGTCAGTGACCTCTTCAGGGCAACCCCAGGCAGTGCAGGATTGGACCTCCACTCAACCACCCATGCAGTACTAACCCCAGACTCGCCAGTAGCAGCCATTCCTACAGGAGTGTCTGGGCCACTGCCTGAGGGAACTGTAGGTTTAATATTAGGGCGGAGCTCCACCTCCTTACAGGGGATCTTAGTCATCCCAGGAGTTGTTGATGCAGACTACACAGGAGAAATACAGATTTTACTTTCCCCACCCACCACAACTATACAGATTCAGCCCAACCAGAGAATTGCCCAATTACTCCTGTTACCAATACATAAAATAGGGACAGCTGTTACCCAGAAAGCTAGAGGGGCCGGAGGCTTTGGATCTAGTGATGCAGCATTTTGGATACAAGAAATCCATGCTACTAGACCTACAAAAATTTTACAAATTCAGGGAAAACCAATTGAAGGTCTATTGGATACAGGAGCAGATGTTTCCTGCATAGCAGGGAAGGATTGGCCCTCTTCATGGCCCACGCACACCACCTCCACTTCCCTAGTAGGACTAGGCAAGGCATCTAATGTGAAAAAGAGTTCTCAGATTTTAACTTGGGCTGATGAAGATCAACATTCGGGAACATTCTGTCCCTATGTAATTACGACTCTCCCCTTTACATTATGGGGAAGAGATATCTTGTCTCAAATGGGAGTTCTATTATATAGCCCCAGCGGTGTTTGATTTACTCCTGTTACAAAATATTACAAGAAAATGAGTTTAAATATTCCTCTCCTCATCATGTTCTACAACATACTCTATTTGTAATTAATATACTAAATGTAGATTCTGAGGGAAATTCCCCAATGTACAGGCATTGGAACCCTGATCTAACTAAACCTAAAGCCCTCGTCAAATGGAGAGACTTGCTTACAGGAGCCTGGAAGGGACCTGATGTACTTTTAACCCAGGGGAGAGGATATGCTTGTATATTTCCACAGGATGCAGACTCACCTGTGTGGATTCCAGACCGTCTAGTCCGACCTTATGTCTCACCGCCCGCCATCTCTGCCTCATCATAGCACACCTGACCAGTGCCCATCTGCAGCAGATGTGCAGACCTGAGCTGGAACAATCTGTCCATTGGGAGGATCACATGTGCCTCCGTTTTGTCTTTCCACATGTCCCAGCTTTGCCCCACATCTCCTTTCCTTTTTCCTTTTTTAAAAATCTAACTACTTGTTTGCTGGTTCTTTGGCCTTTCTCCTTCTTTCCTGAACACAGCCTTTTCTAGAATCTCCCTACCCTACTGTTCCAGGAAGGGCATCTCCCTTTTATGCCGTGACTAGGGGTGTTTGGTATATGCCCCATACATGGAGTTGTCTTGGGCCAAGAGCCTGACATCCTGGGCTGAGAAAGCCCTGTTCCAGGACTCTCCTTTGTCCTGTATTGGCCCCTCTTACCCTTGTGTCAAGAGGGACCCTCTTCTTACAATCCAATTGCCCATAGATGTTGCCTGAGCTCTCTGTTCATGCTGAGGTTGAAGCCGCATGGTGGCTGGTACCATGGATCTGTCTCTGGCCCAATGGCGTAAGCTGGGCCCTCTCTAGAGAAGAAACCTGAGTTCCCTATGATCAATGCCAGAGCCCCGCCAGCAGGCAAGGGGATCCCAAGGCAGTTGCTGGGCATGGAGGCCAGAGGGACATAGGCTATCAAGGAGACAAAACTGAACCTCACATCACCCTAATTGGCCCAGAGATGGCTGGTAGTCAACGACGGGTAAGACTCCACAGGGTGGGGCAACCTAAGACAGGCACAGTCGGGGGCCAGTAGGAGAAAACTTGGGGTGCAACAAAGGTGGGGCACAGACCCCCCTCCCCAATGGTGCAGGGGCTTGAACACTCGGCCCTTCTGAGGAAGGTCTCCTGTCCCCATGGCTGCTTCCTGCTTCCCATGCCCAGCTCAGATCGGGACCCAGGTAAAGACAGAGACTGGCTGACAGCAGCTGCCCTCTCACTGCAACAGGACTTGTTTCCCATTTCTACCTTGGACCACAGGGAAAGGGGCAGCTGAAGGAAAGGGCTGTGTCAGGATGCTGCATTCTTCCCTTTCTTCTCCCTCTTTTTTCTAAACACTTCCATGCCTTGTAGTTCTTTTGCTTTCTCTTCTTTTTCTACTACCCTCCATTTTCCATATCAGTTGGATACAGAGGGCACAGCTTACTCCTTCTCGGACATCGACACCACCATCAACCACGGCCCTGATGGACCCTTTGATGCAGCCCCTCAACTTGCTGACGCTTCGGGAAGCCTGTCGCCAGTGACGCCGCCCGCTAGCCAGACCAACAAAGACAACCAAACCAACAACTTGAGGACAGCTGTAATCCCTTGACTGAAGAGGCCGGCAACCTTCTACAGGAATGGGGCTCCTTCTGCGCTCCATCCACTATGTTTATAGCTATGCTCACTATCATTGCTTGCCACTCTTCTTCCGAGACTTAAATGGCCCAATCTGAGAGGTGGCCACTGATTTGCATGCGCTATCATTTAAAAAATAAAAAAGGGGGAATTTGTCGGAAGCCGGTCCATCCTTGCTGCTTGACACAGTCGCTGCAGGAAAGAAACATCTGCACAGCATATGTTTCAAGGGACCTGGCGTATATAGCATACTGTTCTTAATATGTTTGCTCCCCTTAGCGCTGTGTGTTTTAACCAAGGTCACCTCTCCGAGAAAGGTTGTTTCCCCAGGTAGGAATTTTTCCCTGAAGTCAGGGAGGGGATGCCTCTCCTAGAAAGGTTGTTTCCCCAGGTAGGAATTTTTCCCTGAAGTCAGGGAGGGGATGAAACTCCTTAACTAAGTGCCAGGCGGGTAGTTAATCACTTTAACTACAAACAATCATGCTTAAGCTACATAATCTTTACTCCCTGGAATGGAGATAAGAAACGCCCTAACCTTTGTAATAGAAATTGACAGGATTAAAATCAACTGGTATAAATACGGATGTAACAAGACAATAAACAGCAGAACTTCGCTGGAGATCCAGACCAGAACTTGGCTGGAGATCCTGGCTAGAGATCCTGGCTAGGCTGCTGATCAACTGAACACTGTCTCCGTGTCCTTCCTTCTTCGCCGACTCCGTCTACGCCTTTGGGAACCCCTGGACCTGCTGGGGTTGGACCCCGGCAAAATGCTGAAAGGTATTCTTTAAGAAGAGGAAGAAGAAAAAGGAACTCTGACCATTTGCCACAGCATGGATGGAACTGGAGAGCGGATAAATACCACATGATCTCACTCATTTGTGGAATATAATGAACAACATAAGCTGATGACTGTCGGGACTTGGAGGGAAGGTAGGGGAGGGTGGGGGTAAGGGGGAAAGATCAACCAAAGGACTTATATGCAAGCATATAGGCCTAATCAATGGACATGGACAACGCAGGGGTGAGGGCATGAGGGGGGGGGGGGGGTAGAGGGTAATGTGGGGACAAGGACACATATGTAATATCTTAATCAATAAAAAATATATTAAAAAAATAATAATAAAATAAAATAAAAAAACATAAAAAACAACTTAATGTAATAATCACATCATAGAAAAAAGTCGCACGGCCATCTCAATAGGCTAAGAAAGTACTGGACACAATCCAAGCCCTTTCATGAAGAGAACCACGCCCCCTCCACCCCACCCCCCACCCGGGGCCGGAGGCACTCCCTCCGGGAAAGGGCCTGGGCCCAGCTGACCCCACACTCGGGGAGAGGGAATCAAGACGAGGGCCCTGCTCTCCACGCCACGTGGCCTAGAGCTTCTGCCGCGCAGTCAGCAAGGACGGGCGTGACAGGCCCAGATTGGAAGGAAGAAAAGCCATTCACAGGTGACATGAGCTTCGTATAGAGAACCCCACATGCACATGCACACGCATGCCTACACGCACATATGCCTGCACACACACATGCCTACATGTGCACACACGTCTACACACATGCCTGTGCATGCATGGCTACATGCGTCCGCATACACGTGTGTGCACATACATGTAGTGTGCACATGCCTACACAAGTACGCGCACACCCACACATACAAAGGAGGAGGCTTCCCCTGAGAGGCGATGTGGGGCAGACGATCTCCCTATTTTGCAGAAAAAATCCCTAAGTGGCTGGACAGGGTCACTTTTCCTCCATAAATGTGTTGTCAACGTTTGGCGTCTCTCACTGTGCCGGTGCGGGGTCGGAGACAGCACACACCAGGAGCGGGGACCTCACGGGACCTTCAGGAGCAGCGGGACACCGCCGGACTCAAGGTGACAAGTGCGCGGCTGGGTTGACCACACGTCACAGCGCGCACTGCGGGAATCTGAGCGGCACCTCCAGGAGCTGGTCCAGGGTCCCGGGTCCCGGGTTCCAGCCCTTCCAACCCTGGCCAGCCCTTCCCGACGATGTCCCTGCTGACCTCGGAGGCATCTGGTACCCGAAGCGCACCCGGGCACCTGCTCACCTGGCAGCCAGGACCCCAAGCGCACCTGGGCGCCTGCTCACCTGGCAGCCGGGACCCCAAGCGCACCCGGGCGCCTGCTCACCTGGCAGGCTGAGCTGACGGCCTCGATGACGCAGTTCTCGAAGCACCTGGACACGCTGTCGTCGGTGCCCGCGGCCGCCCAGTCGGAGCTGCAGTAGGCGGAGATCTGCGTGCGCGGCGACTCCTGCGGAGCACAGGGGCGGGCTGGGGGCGCACTCCGAGCCCGGGGACACCGATGCCCCGTGGTTCTCACTTTCCTGCTCTCCTATCCGGTCCCCACTGATGGGACCTTCCTCCCGCCCCCACACTCAGTGCGTCCTCACTGCCCCCAACACCAGACCAACAGCAAGACCACATGCAGGCTCCATGCCGGCTCGGCAGAGGCGCCTGCGCTGCAGTTTGCAACAACGGGTGAGTTGTGCCCGGCCGGCAGGGCTCGGTGGCTGAGTGGCGACCTATGAACCAGGTCAGGGCACATGCCCAGGTTTAGGGCTTGATCCTCAGTGTGGGGCGCGCGGGAGGCAACCAGTCGATGTGTCTCTCTCACATCATCTGTCTCCCCCGCTCCCTTCCACTCTCCGAAAATCAACGGAAAAACATCCTCGGGTGAGCAGTAACAGCAACAGCAAAATCAGCCTCGAACTTCCGAGGGCCCTGGGCCTGAACTGCACAACGAGCAGGTCTGCGTCCGTCCCCCCCGCACCGGGTTTAACAGGCTCCTGTCACCACCGGCCGCTCGGGGGCCTGCATGTGCCTGGGGTTCCCCTGGTGGCAACCCCTGCCCCAGTCGTTCTCTGGAATTCCATCCGGGGCCCCCGGCAAGGCGGGCACGGGTGTCGGGGCTCCCGACCTGCCTTCGCCCTGAGAAGCATGGCACCGACCCCGGTACCTGCTTGAGCCGCGCCGCCAGGTCCCCCAGCAAGGTCGCCTTCCAGCCGTGCTCCTCGGGGAAGGGGATCTCCACCAGCCGCCGCCTCACCTGCAAGGCACAGGGGAGGGACAAGGAAGTGCCGCAAGCTGTCTCCCAACGACTGAGGGGACGCGGGGCGCTGCCCTGCAGGAGGGGCACCTGCGTGGGACCCGGCTGCTGTCCCTGTGCGCCGTGGGCGGCGGGCAGGGCACCCAGCTCCGCCTGGAACACGAAGGCCTGGAAGCCGCACGGCCCTTCACGTGCAACTGGCTGTGACTTGGGAAGAATCCCCCTCAAGGTTTTGTTCTGAAAAATGTCAGGTTCCCGCCCGGCCGCGTGGCTCAGGGGCTGAGCAGCAACCTGTGAACCAGGAGGTCACGCTTCGATTCCCGGTCAGGGCACAGGCCCGGTTGCGGGCTGGAACGCATTGTGGAGCGTGCAGGAGGCAGCCGGTCCGTGATTCCCCCTCATCATTGATGTTACTCTCTCCCTCTCCCTTCCTCTTGGAAATCAATAAAAATATGTTTAAAAAGACGACAATAAAAAATAAAAACCCAAAGGGGAGCGGCAAAAGCTTCCCCAGCAGGCGCCCTTCCCAGCCTGGAGGAGCCCCTGCCCGCGAGCCCGAGCCCAACCCAATGGCCGCCCTCCCCGTGGCCGCCCTGCCCCGCCCTCCCCGTGGCCACCCTGCCCCGCCCTCCCCGTGGCCAACAGGTCCCCACCCTCCGCCGCGGCCATGATTCTATTCCAGGCCTGTCGCCCTGGAAACCCCACTGCCCACCTTGGGGCTCAAGGTCTCTCTCACTTCAGATGCCATCCTGCCCAGCCTCCCTTCAAGCAGCACCTGAGTTCACCCTTTCCTTCCACGCCCAAGGTCATAAACTTCACTCATCACCTCAGCACCGAGCCAGACCCCAGTGCCCCCAGCCCCGCCCCAGAGCGCCTCCCCACAAGGTCTGCCCCCATGGGGCTCCGGCCGGCGGCCTGACCAGCGCCTGGCCTTGCAGATCCCGCTGGGGGGCGGGGCTCGAGGCCCAGGCCCAGGCTGGCCACCCGCCGAGGTCCCCCAGGTCACAGACACCCGCCGAGGTCCCCCAGGCCGGCCACCTGCCGAGGTCCCCCAGGATGACCACCCGCCGAGGTCCCCCAGGTCAGACACTGCCGAGGTCCCCCAGGCCGGCCACCTGCTGAGGTCCCCCAGGATGACCACCCGCCGAGGCCCGGGGCTGGGGTCGCAGGCTCACCTGGATCTCCTCGCTGTAGGTGAACCTGACGGATGCGGCATAGGAGCTGCTGAACATCTTCTGCTTGAAGGTCCCTTCGAGCCACGCCCTTGTGGTGCTCAGGGCTCCCTGGACCACGCCCCTCACGGAGGTCCTGGTTCCCGAGTCGCTGCCCTGCGCCTCTGCGGAGTCCTGTTAGCAAAGGGGAGGCAGGGAGGGAGGGGGAGAGACTCGTCCTGGTCCGGCCTCTGCTGCTGTTAACGTTCAAGTGGAGGGGAGTCTGGCCGGTGTGGCTCCGGGGCTGAGTGTTGACCGTGAACCAGGCGGTCAGGGTTCGGTTCCAGTCAGAGCACAGGCCCGGGTTGTGGGCTCGATCCCAGTGTGGGGCGTGCAGGAGGCAGCCGATCCATGATTCTCTCATCGTTGATGTTTGTATCTCTCTCTCCCTCTCCCTTCCTCTCTGACACCAATAAAAATATATATTTTTTAAAGTGTAGGGAAAAGCTCAGTGGAAAAGACGGCCCGTGGACGCGCACTGGGGTGTCACAGCCGCCGGCCACCTGCTCTGCTCTGTAACTGCCCAGTCACCTGACAATCTGCGCGTCAACTCCCCCCTCCCACAGGAGCCCGGGGGCCCAGGTGCCTGGTAACACGGCGTCCTCCACGCACAGAGCCGCAGGGAGCCGGCACCGAGCGGGTGACAAGCGGCCACTGGGCCACCCAGTCCTGGCGTTGGCCCAGCCCGTGAGCGGGGCACTGGACACTCCGTGGCCGTGGGGCGTGCCGGGCCGGGCCCCACTCACCGCCACCGTTTTCAGCCTGATGACGCGGCAGACGATCTCCGCGGACAAGGCGGGCAGTTCGGGCAGCTGGTAAGTCATTGTGCCTTTGGCAAGTCCGCAGACGGCCTCGTGCAGCTTCAGGCACACGGTGAGGTAGGACGGCACCGAGGGCGCCTCGAGGACCCTGCGCAGCAGAGTGACGGGAAATCACGGGGCCCGGGAAACGGGAAACAGCGCCCGCCGCCAGGGCGCGGTCCTTCCGGGTAAATCCCGAGCGGAGGCATCCCCTGGGCCCGTGCACAGCGTAACCGCAGGGCAACCCCAGCCCGTCGCCAACTTGTGACCAAGACACAAAGCAAACGGCCCGGCCTGGCTCAGGGGCTGAGCGCCCACCTACGAACCAGGAGGTCGGGCGTGATCCCGGCCAGGGCCCGGGCCCGGGGTGCGGGCTCAGTCCCCAGTGTGGGGCCTGCAGGATGTTTCTATCCCCCCCCCCCTTCCTCTCTGAAATCAGTAAAAATATATTTAAAAACAACAAAAACCAGGAGGATCACAGGCATAACTCAGAGGAAGGGGGATGTGCATGGCGCGGGGCCCCGGACGGCGGCGGCGGCCTTGGGTTTCGCCACTTACTGGTCCTGAAACATGTCCAGCAGGTGCAGCAGCATTGTCAGCGTCAGGTCAACGGCCTGGGGGCGAAGGAGAGAAACAGCAGCCATTACCCCCGGCGCCGCCGCGGGAACAGAGCCGAGCCGCGCCGTCCCCTGCGAGCGCTTTAGGGTGCTCAGGCGCTCAGCGTGCTCTCCAGGAATAACACGCGGCCCAGGTTATACCATCCCCCCCCCCCCCCCCCCGGCCGAAATGGCAGAGGAAGACGGCAGCCGCGTCCCCACGCGCGGGGGTGACGTCCCCCTGCCTGGCGCAGACATAACCAAGGGACGGTGAGGGTTTTACTGAAACGGAAGAAACGGGGAGCTTCCCAGGGCAGTTTCTTTCTTTAAAAAAAATATTTTTTTACTGACTTTTACAGAGCAGAAGTGGGAGAGACAGAAACACCGATGAGAGAGAAACATCAACCAGCTGCCTCCTGCACGCCCCCTACTGGGGACTGAGCCCACAACCAAGGTACATGCCCCTGACCGGAATCGAACCCAGGACTCCTCAGTCCGCAGGCCAATGCTCTATCCAATGAGTCAAAGGGATTAGGTTCTTCCTTTTTTTAAAAAAAAAATTTTCAGAGAGAGGAAGTGAGAGAGAGAGAGAGAGAGAGAGAGAGAAGGAGAGAGGAAGAGACCCACTGGGGATCGAGCCCGCAACCTGGGCCGGTGCCCTGAGCAAGAGCAGAACCATGACCTCCTGGTTCATGGGTCGAGGTTCAACCCGAGCCGCGCCGCCGGGCACAGTGCACTGGAAGGAGCCCCCGTGGTTTCCCGGGAGGAGGGAGCGGGGCTCTGCACGCTAACGGGCTGGCGCCTCTGCTCCGCGAGCCCTCGGCGCCGCAGGCCACAGACCTGCAGGTCTCCGAGGCGGGCGTCCTTGAGTCCTTGCAGCCGGTAGCAGGTGCCCTGCAGACAGTCCAGGACGCGCGCCGGAAAGCGAGTCAGGTGGTCGGTGAACTCCTGCAGGTAGGCGGCCAGGCCGCCCAGCGGCAGCAGGCTGAACCAGGACCGGAACAGGGCCTCGTCCGCATCCAGCAGGTGCTTCTTCCCCACCATGAACTGGAGCAAGCGCTCCTTCCTGCGGAGGGAGGGCAGGGCGGGGAGGGCGCTGAGGGCCACGCAGACCTGGACGAAGCATCGAGGAAGCTCGGGTTTTAAAAGTGGCCCCGCCGCGTGGCTCAGGGGCTGAGCGTCGACCTGGGAACCAGGAGGTCAGGGCACAGGCCCGATCGTGGGGGGCGCGCAGGAGGCAGCCGATCCAGGATTCTCTCTCATCATTGATGTTTCTCTCCCTCTCCCTTCCTCTCTGAAGTCAACAAAAATACATTTAAATAAATAAAAATAATGTCGGTGCTAAGAGGTGGATTGAATGAAAAGGAAACAATAACGTTAAGGATTCACCCACCTGGATGCACCTTGAAAACACGGTGCAGAGTGAAATCAGCCCGACACCAAGGGACACCCCCGTGTGGCTCCCCTGGCAGGAGCACCTGGCTGGTCCCGCCCACGGGGACAGGAAGCAGAAGGAGGCATTGGGGGCATGGGGGGGCAGTGAGCGCTTCACAGGGACGGAGTGTCCGTTGGGCAAGGCTCGGGGTGTCCCGTGAATGTGCTTAATGCCGCTGAGCTGTGCACGGACACGGTGACCCTGGTAAATCCTAGGTTATGCATGTTTCACAACAAAAACACTAAGAAGTAAGCACTGCTTCCAGCTCTACTGAGAGATGGTTGATAGGTACCACTGCGTCCCTGGAAGGGGTAGCAGGCTGTGGATTGTTGCATCGTGTCTCCCAGGCCTGTGGTCATTCCCTTTTGGTGGCGAACTTCTGAGATCCACTCCCTTCTGTCACGCAGCCCTGCTGCCGAGTCCCGCTGTGTAGCCCCCGGGACCGCCTGACAGCTGGAGGTCTGCACCTCTGACCAACAGCCGCCCCTCCCCCGCCCCAGCCCTTTTAGATTCCGTGGATGAGTGAGATCAGACAGCCTTTGTGCCGCTCTGACCCATCTCACTTGGCTTCACGCCCTGAGGTTTCATCCAGGTTGCAGCAAACGGCAGGACGGCCTTTCGGGGCTGAATAACGTTCCGTGTCCTATCGACACCACGGCCTCCTGCCCCACCCATCCCTTAACAGCCACGCGGGGCCTGCTCCCCACGACGCACGCGCACTCTCGTTTCAAGGGGGCCCAATAGTAGCAAAGGAGCGACCACTACCTCCGGTCACTATTCACGCCTCGTTTTGGGGGGGGGGGGGCGGTGTGCACTTGGAACAGTTTCTCGGACAAAAGGCAGCGCCAGCGGGGCAACGGGCGCCTGCATCCGTGTTCTTGTCCTTCGTCTGCCTTCGCGTTTCCTTTGACTTTGACTCAGTGTTTGCGCTTAAACGGGCTTCGCCGTCTGCCCTGTATACTGCGCTCCCCGGCCTCCTCTGAGAGCCGCTCCTGCGCGCCCCAAAGGTGCGGGCGGTGTTGGGGTGTCCCCTGCGCATCGCATGTCTCACACTCTCTAACGGAGCCGTTTTATGAGGAGACGCATTGCTCGCTCCCTAGAAGCGGGACCACGTGCGCCAGGGAGGCCCGCCGAGACCACGCGGGGAGGGGAGCCCACACTTACTCATGTGCCCTTTTCCGCCGGAACTCCGAGAAGGGGATTCCCTCCAGGGCCGCCCAGATGTCCTCGGGCTGAGTCCCGGGCTGCCGGGACGGGGGGCGCGGCCCCGCGCAGAGGTGGAGCACGGGCAGGATGCCCACCCAGGAGCCCACGTCCAGCTCCATGCTCCTGCGGCACAGCCTCAGCAGGTACTCTCGCCACCTGGGAACGGGACAGAGGCCCTGCCGTGAGCCAGGGCGCTGGCAGGCTCCCGTTGCCTGACGTCCCGGGGAAAGGCCAGCGTGCACCCAGGGCGGGCAGGCCACTGGGAGTGGCTGATCCCCCGGGAGAGAGGGCACCCTCAGCGTCACCCCCAACGCCGTGGGCACCGAATATCCCCCGGCAAACTCCCGATGGTGCCGCTTCCACTGGCGGCTGAGTGATCCCCACCAGGGCCTGGGCAGGCTGGCACATGGGCCTGGGCGTCTGGCGTCAGTCTAAGTATAAAGCAAGTTTTTAAACAGGAAGGGGCCTGGCCAGCGTGGCTCAGTGGTCGAGCGTGGACCTATGAACCAGGAAGTCACAGTTCGATTCTGGTCAGGGCACAGGCCCAGGTTACGGGCTCCATCCCCAGTGGGGGACATGCAGGAGGCAGCCGATCTATGATTCTCTCTCATTGATATTTCTCTCTCTCCCTCTCTCTTCCTCTCTGAAATCAATAAAAAAAAATATATTTTTAAAAAGTGGCTATAAAATCGTTTCTCTCTCTCTCTCACACACACACACACACACACACACACACTACCTCTGATGTGTTTCAAAGATGAGGCTGAGGTCGTCGAGGAGGTCGCGGGCGGAGCTGGCGCTGGCGCACAGGAGGTCACACAGGGCGCCCAGGTCGTGCCCCGAGAGCGGGAGCTCCAGCTCCTCAGCCACGTGCAGGGCAATCAGGCCCATCCTCAGCTTCCTCCTCACGGGGGCGTCCGGGGGCAGAGTGTCCTCGCGCCTCTCCAGGAACGGCGCCATATGCTTCTGCAAACACTCCCACAGGTGCGCCCTCACCTGATGCAGGGGAAACGGACAGGGCCATGGAGCCGAAGCCATCCGGGCTGCCCCATCACTGCCCCATCACTGCCCCGAGGTCCACCTCACCCGGCAGAGGCCATGGCCCGAGGGGCAGGGACAGCTCTGTGATCGAGCAGCCCCTCTCCGGGCCCAGCTGCCCTGGATTTCCGGGAGACGCCCCGATAATGGGATCGGAGACCCTGGCACAGGGAAAGGGCTTTCCAGGAGGGCCTGGGTGCTCACAGTGGTTCAGCCTCATCTCAGCTGTGGCCCCAGGTGTGTCTCAGAACTGCCCAGGCCCCACCCCAGTGCCCGGGGAGAGGCAGGAAGGAGGGCTCCATCCCTTCTTTCTACTCCAGGTGTGGAGGCGAGGTGAGGGGTAGGGCCGGGTGGGTGTGGCGGCGGGGGGCAGTGGTGGGTGTGGCCATGTGGGTGGGGCCAGTGGTGGGGGTGTGGCCAGTGGTGGGGGTAGGGCAAGGTGGCCAGGTGGGTAGGGCTAGTGGGGGTGGGGCCAGCAGTGGGAGGAGGAAGACAATGGGAAGAACAAAGGAGTCCCAAGAGGAGGGATTCGGAGAAAAGGGGCAAAGGGCCCCCCCACCCCCGCCCCCTGCCCCCATCCGCATCTGCCCACTGCACCCCGGGTCCCCTGGCCACTAGTAGGTGGGTGACGCTGCTGCTAGAAGATGGAGGAGGGAGTGGCAGCGCCCCGAGCCGTACCTGCTCCTTGGGGTAGTTCAGGGAGGTCCAGGGCTGCGCCTGCGCCTCATAGACCATGGGCTCGCTGACCACGGAGGAGAACTGGCGGAACTGCGTGAAGAAGCTGCTCAGGTTGACGGCGCTCCAGGGCTGCAGGACGCTGAGGACGCGGTCCAGCATGATGGAGGCTGCCAGCTGCTTCCCTTTCACGTTCTTCTTCATCTGGTCCACGAAATGGCGCAGAAAGTAATCCCTGATTTCCCGGAGCTTCCCTTCGGGCCGCTTGCAAATAATGTCGTCATACTGGTGCCAGTCTAGGGAGCGGGGGCAGGAGCAGCGGAGTGAGCCCAGAGGGGAGGGAGGACATGCCGAGGGCTGGCAGGGCGGGCAGGGCCTCGATCCCGCAGGTGCCCCTCGCAGGCAAGCGGCCGGGGCTGCCCGCGGGAGCCGGCTGGGTTGGGGACAGGCATGCGGACGCCGCGAGACGGAGGCCACGCCGTCCCGGCCTGGCCGCACAGGGAGTGCCGCGGCAAGCTCGATGGTTCAGACCCGGCACCCGAGCCCCTAGGAAAACGCTCGCTCGGGGTAACCCTTTTACACTGGAACGGCGCCACTCAGCAGCCTCCGGGGCACGAGATGCCCACCCATGAAGGACGGTACAGGCGACAAGGCAGACAGAGCCCTCGGCCCGGGCTGACAGGCACACTCACGCACACACACAGACACACGCACTCGACTGCATGTGGTGAGTGTAAAACACGGCAAAGAAACACGGGAGGCAGTTAACGATACAAACAAGAAGATGGTCTGGTCGGCGTGGCTCAGGTTGAGCATCAGGGCACTTAGCCCACAGTGTGGGGCGTGCGGGAGCCAGCAATGATTCTCTCTCATCGTTGACGTTTCTCTCTCTCTCTCTCTCTCTCTCTCTCTCCCCCCTTCCTCTCTGAAATCCATAAAAATATATTTAAAAAGAAAGAAAAAGACAAAACGGAGAATAAGGAATGAAGAGCAGGAAGAGTGGCCACTAGCAACCACACTAGCTCGCCACTCCCGCCACGCCCGCCACGCCCACTCCCACGCCCACTCCCACGCCCACTCCCACGCCCTGTGGACATCTCCCTGAAGGGCCCCCTTCCTGCCCCTCTCGCCCCCACTCCTGCGCCTCCCGCCCAGCCCCTCGCTCAACAGCTGCCTCTCCTCTCCTCCCTTCACGACAAATCCCTCCCTCGCTTCCTCTCCTACGTGAGCGCTCAGGCTATGCTGATGGAAACTCGCTTCCAAGCTCAGGTTTGTACATGGCGTGGGTGGGGCCCCGCTGAGCAGAGGACCCAGCCGGGAGCCCCTGCCCTCGGAGGCCGGTGCCCGCGGCCGCCCCGGGACGCACCTCCGGAGCCCAGCAGCGCCGACCGCAGGTGCAGGCAGCGGTTGACGTGCTGCTTGCTCTCCTTGTCCTGCTGCTTGTAGATGAACTCGTACAGCGTGGCCTCCTTGCCCTTCACGACCACGTACTTGTAGGGCGCGGGCCGGTCCAGCAGCCGCTTGGGCAGCACGGCGCTGCCTTCCACGAGGACCCCGTGCGGGTCCAGGACTCTGAGAACAGAGGGGACACCGCCCGGTCATCGGGAAAGCCTCCGGAAGTCTTGGTTCTTCTGAAACTCGGTGCGGAGCGCAGGCGAGAGCTACGCCTGGACGCCAGCTGGTCCCCAGACGGGACTGCGGGCGGCAGCAGGGCCTGGGGACGCAGGGCAAGCGCGTAGAGGGGAAGAGCTGCTCGAAACGAATGCCACCAACTTCGCTAACAAGCACTTCACAGATGGACACTCACTTGGCGACGTGCAGCTCGCACACGTTGAGGCTCCATCCTGGCGCCCCCAGCTCTTCTCCGCCCCGGATGAACAGCCGGTGCTGGTCGGGGTCGAAGCTGAAGTCCTTGGAGAGGATGGCGTGGAAGAACACCGTGACGCCCTCGCCGGGGCTCAGGGGGCTGCAGGGGAGCCGCCAGGAAGCACGTTACACCCGACTGTCTATCCAGCCACGTACATGCAAAGCACGCATGCACACATGTGCACAATACATGAGCGCACGTGCACACACAAACACGCACATGTGCATGCATACTCATATGTGCACAAACATGCACGCATGTGCACACCCGTGCACACATGGACCTGTATTTCTTCTCCTGCATTAACACGCACCCAGCAAAACTCAAGTGCATCGAGACCTACCGCCGCAGGTGGGTCCTCTCGCCGCCCCTCCACGGGGTGGGAGGTGGGTGCAGGACAGGGGACAATCTGCCCGGGAAGTGCTGTGGGGAGGCGGGGGCTGGCTAGCACTTGGACATCGCAGCCTCCTTCCTGAGCCCAGGCCCGAGCTGCCTCCGGGCTCCCGGGGACTCCCCGCCTTCCCTGGAGCCTGGGGAATGCCTGTGGGGTGGGTGAGCACTGGGCCTGCCTCCCGGGAGCGGGCACCTCGCGGCCCCCGCGGGCCGCTGCACCGGGCGCCCTACCTGCTCGGCACCTCCTGCGTGTCGGCTTTCAGCTCCTTCTGGCCCCCCTTGCCCTTCGGGGTGGCCGCGTCGCCCCTGTGGCCCCGGTCGGGCTTCTTCACGTCTCCCGGCTTGGCTTTCTCGCCAGAAACGGCAGCCTTGCCTTTGGGTTCAGCTTCCTGGGACAAGGAACCAGCCCCCACCTTGAACACCAGCCTCCAAGGTTGCCCGCGAGGGTCTGGGCGCCCCCACCACGGCCTCTCCCCGCATCGCTCGGTGGCTCCGGCTTCCTGCTGGACCCTCGGGCCCTGCCCCTGCCATTCCCTCTGCTGGGGACACGGCCCCCATCTCCCCGGGGCCTGCCTCTCGCCCCACTCAGGCGATCACAGAAACCCCTCGTGGGCGAGGCCTTCCCGGCCATGGCCCCTGGGCGCCACCCGCTGCCCTCAGCCCTCGCCCCTTCCCTACGCCGTCTCTCTCCTCTACAGAGAGGGCTCCGAGGCCTGGCGGGCACTCCCGCTCCAGCTGGCACCTTCGGGGGAGTAACCGAACGAAAGAGGAGCGGTGGCAGGACCGGCCAAAGGAGCGGCTGTGGGACAGACCGCCGGCCCCGGCCGCGCCTCCCACAGAACAAGCCCCTCACCTGGCCGTGCTCGGGGGCGGCAGGGGCGCTGGCAGGGGCGCCGGGCGGCTTCGCTTTCTGCTTCGCTTTCTGCGTCTCACTCTGGACCTCAGTCCCCTCCGCTGGCTCCACCAGCTCGGCTGCTGCATCAGTCGCCTGGAAGAAATAAAGACCAAACATCAAGGCCAAGAGGGCCACATGGACAGGGAGACGGACTCCACGGCGTGAGGGTCAGCATCGCCTCCAGCTGGGTGACAGCGGGGCCGGGGCCAGGTGACGGGGTTGGGGGCTGGGAGACAACGAGGCCAGGGGCTTGGTGATGGGGGCTCGGGGGCGGGGCCGGGGGCTGGGTGACGGGGTTCGGGGCTCAGGGCCCAGGGCTGGGTGATGGGGGCTCGGGGGCGGGGCCGGGGGCTGGGTGACGGGGTTGGGGGCTCAGGGCCCAGGGCTGGGTGATGGGGGCTCGGGGGCGGGGCCGGGGGCTGGGTGATGGGGTCAGGGGCCGGGGCACAGGGCAGCCTCTCCCACGCCCATTCCCAGGAGCGAGCCCCAGAAGAGGACGCCCCGCCCAGACCAAGAGGCGACCTTGGAGCCACCCTGCACAGCCAGGCCCCCCTGGTCCTCGTCTCCCCACAACTCACCCCGGAAGCGGGGGGCGCAGCCTGCTGCCCCATGGCGCGCGGCTCATTCCTGGGCTCCGAGGGGTCCCCCTGCGGCGTGGGCGGCGGGAGCTCCTGGGCAGCGCCCTCCTTCCCACTGGCAGAGGCGGGGGGCCCGGCCCCCTCCTGGTCCTTCCCTCCTGGGGGGGCACCTCCTGGGGTCTGGTCCTGGGGTGCTGCGCTGCCTGGAGACCCTCCTGCCGAGGCGGCCCCTGCGGCCCCTGCGGCCCCAGCGGCCCGGCCCTGCGGACACCCTCCGCCCGGCGGCTGGCTGGGGGGCCCGCCCTGCTGAGCGGGGCTCTGGGGCGGGGCTGCGTCCTGGACCCCAGGGTCTGCCAGCGATTGGAGGCTACCAGGCGTGGAGGGGGAGGCGGGCAGGGACTCCAGCCCTTTGGAAAGGGACGCCTTTTGGTTCTTTTTCTTCTGCTTCTTCCTTTTGCTCTAGACAGAAAGAGAGACGCTGGTTTCACTTCCCAGGTGCACTCCACACTCACCACCTTCCCTCCAAGTCCTCTCAGCTGCTCACGAGCATCAAGCGTAGCTCGACCAGCGCCTGGCACCTGAGGGAACTGCCATCTCTTTTTTAGGTAAGGGAGTCCCTTGAGTCTGGCGCCTTAGACCACTTGGCCATCCTGACACCCCTTGCCATCTCTTTTTTAAAACCCAGAACTTAAATATGCACTCACATCTGTATCCATTTCAGAGAGGAAGGGAGAGCAAGAGAGAGAGAAACATCAGTGGTGAGAGAATCATGGATGGGCTGCCTCCTGCACGCCCCACACTGGGGATCGAGCCCACAACCCAGGCCTGTGCCCTGACCGGGAATCGAACCATCGTAGGACGGCGCTTAACCACCGAGCCGTGCCAGCCGGGCACCTGCCATCTCTTTATCTTGGGAAGAATGATGCTGAGACAAAAGAGGACGGGGGTAGTGGACAGAGTGGGGGACAGTGGGCCCAAGCGCAGCCGACCTCATGGGGCCTCCTGGGGGGGCAGCCCCGCCAGGCCGGCGCAGGGCCGTCAGCGAGCAGGTCCGCGCTGCGGGACTCTCTCGTGTGGAGTGTATGCTGTGCAGGAAATCGAAACGGAGAAGAGGCTGGGGCTGGTGAGCAGGCAGAGTGGCCCCCCACTGGCCCGGGCACACGGCGCCCCCAGGAGGCCCTGCGCGGGGCGAAGAGTCCCCAGCTATGGAAGCAGGTGTGACAGGACCCTGTGGGGATGAGGCTCCGAGCTGAGGGCTGAGTAGTCCCTTCAGGACCAGTGGCCCATGACCCCGAAGGCCAGTCACCTGGTTAGGGGGATGGGAGAACATGGGGTGCGTCTGTGCATGGGGGTGGGGTGGCCTCGCTCTGGGTCAGCTCCTGGAATCGCCCAAGAACCCTGAGCAGGCCTCCTGCACGTCTGTCTACAATCACAAGCACGACACACGGCCGCCCCAGGCAACCCTGAGGGTGGTTTCCAGGCTCCCCAGCTGCCCCTGCTTCATGTCACCACGCGCACATGCACACACATACACACACACACTCGCACGTGCACACGCACTCGCACGCACACACTTGCACACGCGCACACTCACAAACACGACATGCCCGTCTGCTTGTCTCCTGTCCCCTCTAGAATGGAAGTCCGTGTGCGGACCCAGGACGACCCCCGGCACACAGGCGCCCAGCGAGTCTGCGCATGAGGCCACCGCGTCTGCAGCAGCTCTGCCTCCGGGAAGGCCCCGTGCTTCCTCTCCCCGGGGCCGGGCCACACCCTCAGCCTGCGGTCTGAGCTCAGGTCCTGCAGGGCTGGGCTCCTCTGGCTGCAGTTCCTCATCGCCCTCTGGCCTGCTCTCTCTTATTCCCACTGTACGTGCTTTCTGGGAGCTGCCGCAGGCCCTTCCAGAACCAGGTTGGACGTGCGGCTCTCAGCACACAGCGTGGGGGGAGGGGCGCACATCCAGGTGGCCTGGCACGCAACGTGCGCAGGGCTTGGGGCGGAGACCTAAACCTTCCCTTGACAAAAATCCAGTTTCACCATGGTTTCTATGTGTACGTCTTATGTGTACATGTTCCTCATGATGTGTACACATATGTATGTTTTCTAATGAGCGTGGTCTTCCATTGGACCATTCTGACTGTGGCGACTTCCCACGGGAGCCAGAAATGCGCACAGTAGGAGCGCACGCCCGGACAGTGGCCACAGCGGGGTCATGGGGGAGCTGGGGCGGCCAGGAGACCCGCCAGCTGAGCGGTGTTTGTGCCGAAGGGAAGGATGGGCATCGGTCTCACTTTGTCACCCGCGTCTGTTACAAACGCCCTTCGAGTGGGCTTGACGTGCAATAACAGCTTCCTTTTCAGTGAGGAGATTTTTGATGGAAGAGACAAGAGGGAGCCTTTGGGGGCTGGAATGTTCTCTAGATGGAGGAGGGGTTACAAGGCTGAACACAGCTGTACACGGCTGCACATGGCTGTACACATGGCACATGGCTACACACAGTTGTGCATGCTGTACACAGCTGCACAGGGCTGCACATGGCTGCACACAGCTGGATGCAGCTACACAGGTCTATACACGTCTGCACATGGCTGCATACATCTATCCATGTATACACACCACACATACTCTCACACAAACACACACATCCCCAATACAACCCCCACACTCACACACAGCATGTACATCCACCACACATGCACACCTCTACTCACATATGCACCCCACACCCCCACACACACACATGGACCCCAAGTGCCTCCTGCAGCGGGTCCACCCCAGCCACCAGGAGCATCCACCGAGAGCCAGAGAGGACACCTGCCCTAGGCCGAGGGGAGACTCTGCCCCCAGCCTCCCGAACCTGCCCGGGAGCTGCCCGCAGCCTGGCCTGGTCCCTGACCCAGGAGCCCCTCGGGGCTGACGCTTGTTGGGAGGCAACCGCCTCCCAGGTATTTCCCGAGCGCCCGCCCTGACCCGGAGCGCGGAGGCACCTGGGGGTCGGCACCGTCAATGCCAAGAGGACAGAGGGGCGGGCACCCGGGGGCAGAGCACAGCCGCAGGCCCGGGCTGGTGGGAGGAAACGACAGGCGGGACCCAGCAGACAGGGCCCCGGAGACCGCGCAGCGGCAGGGGAGGGGTGCTCTGTCACCCAGCCTGCAGGGCCGACGACGGGTGGGACTGCGGGGGGCAGCTCCGGAGCCGGTGCCGTGGGGACTCGGGCACCAGGGCCGGCAGCTAGGGAACCACGGCAGGAAGCGGCGGTGGCAGAACCAGGACGCCCGGGGCCGGCACTCACTTTTTGGCTTTTCCAGGACTGGGAGCTGGGCTGGGCCAGCTCTGCCTGCTGGTCACTGGAGTCCAGCGATGAGGAGGGGCCACCGTCCTCCTTCAGCTCCTGTCCGCTCTCCATCTCCCCATCGGGCACCGTCGCCTGGGGGTCACCGTCCTCCTTCAGCTCCTGTCCACTCTCCTCCCCCTCAGGGACCGATGTAGCCTGGGGGGCCCCGTCCTCCTTCAGCTCCTGTCCACTCTCCTCCCCCTCGGGGACCGATGTCGCCTGGGGGTCATCTTCCTCCTTCAGCTCCTGTCCGCTCTCCTCCCCCTCGGGGACCGATGTCGCCTGGGGGTCATCTTCCTCCTTCAGCTCCTGTCCGCTCTCCTTCTCCCCCTCGGTCACCGATGTTGCCTTCGGGTCATTCTCAGAGTCTACAAAGCAGGGAAGGGAAGAGCCCATCACCCTCTGGAATATTCGTTTGAGCTGGTCTTTTTTTTTTTTAATCCTCACCCGAGGATATTTTTCCATTGATTTTGGAGAGAGTGGAAGAGAGAGGGAAAGACAGAGGGAGACACATCGATGGGTTGCCTCCTGCACATGCCCGACCAGGGCCTGGGCCAGGGGGATGAGGGGGAGGGAGTGGGAGGAGCCTGCAACCAAGGTACGTGCCCTTGGCTGGAATCGAACCCGGAACCCTTCGGTCCATAGGCCGACGCTCTGTTCACTGAGCCATGCCGGTCGGCGGCCCGGGCGCCCTGAAGGCGAGGGAAGGTGCCCCTCTGGAGGAACACTGACGTGCGGGGAACCTGCTGCATTGGCAAGGGGCCCGCATGGCACAGGATGAGGAGGGGACCCCATCCCTGGGAGCAATTACCAGAGCTGCAGGCCCGCGCCAGTCGGCATGACGGCCACCTGCAGGCCTTCCCGGTCGCCGACCCCACCCCGCACCCCTGTCTTCCGCTGGGGACGGAGCTTGCAGGGCGGCCTGCGCCGGGCCCACGGGAGGAGGGTCCCTGCTCTCCATGGGGGTTTGCTTCGCTAACCTGACTTCTATGACTTTACTTATGGGACCAGCCAGGGAACCTGGGCAGGAGGAAACACCTTCCGTCCCTAGAGCCGCTGCCCGCAGGCCCGACGTCAGGGGAACGCACGTGGCGTCCCAGGACAGCCTGGCCCCCTAACCCCCCTCCCCACAGCAGCCGGCTCAGGCCCAGCGCCCCCCACACACCGCGCTCCTGGACACAGCAGCCGGCTCAGGCCCCAGTGTCCCCCCTCCCCGCCCTTGCGGCATTCTCAAGAAAATGCAGAAAATGCAGAAAGAAAAAAATAGCATGGCCGGTGTGGTTCAGTGGTTGAGTGCCACCAGGCACCAAGAGGTTGCCTGTTGGATTCCCAGTCAGGGTACAGGCCTGGTTGTGGGCTTGATCCCCAGCAGGGGGCGTGCAGGAGTCAACCAATTGGTGTTTCTCTCAAATCAATAACAAAATATATTTTAAAAAAGAACAAAACGTGCCCTGACCGGTTTGGCTCAGTGGGTAGAGCGTCGGCCTGCAGACTAAAGGGTCCCAGGTTCAATTCCAGTCAAGGGCATGTACCTTGGTTGCGGACACATCCCCAGTAGGGAGTGTGCAGGAGGCAGCTGATGTTTCTCTCTCATCGATGTTTCTAACTCTCTGTCCCTCTCCCTTCCTCTCTGTAAAAAAAAATCAATAAAATATATTAAAAAAAAATAAAAATAAAATAAAATAAAAAAGAACGAAACATATTGTCCAGAGCTTCACCATCACCCAAAACCTTCCAGCACCAGAGTCCCCCTGGAAGTCCCACCTGAGTCCCCAGGGCACTGGCAGTGGGGACTTGGGGTGGGGAGGGGCCCCCTAACTCCCTGCCCCTCAAATGCTGACTTGACTGACATTCGAAGCCCTCCATTGAGGGCAGCCCAACATCACGCCTGGCAGAGCCCGCCACCTCCCTCCCCCACACCCCCCGCCTGGGGCAGCCTGAGACTCTGCCACACATTCCCCTTCCATGTGCCCTCCCCAGACCGTCCCCCCAGGCCCCGAGGTCCTAGCAGGTCCCGGCCGCCCGTCTGAGTCTGCGCAGGCGGACACGCCCCTCCGCAGCGCTCCCCACTTCTTTCACTTTCTATTCTGTGAACAGCGCGGCAGGGCCGGGGGTGGGAAGCCAGGAGCCGGCAGACAGGAAGTCTGTGTGTTCCCGGGGTTGTGGCCCTGAGCCCTGGCCCGAGGGATGGGTGCTCAGGGGCCAGCAGAGCCAGGCAGGCCTCTTCCTTCAGGCACAGGTGTTTGGCCCTACTGTGCGCTCCCACGGACTGACCAGGACCAGCACTCACCACTCCCGACAGCCGGGGAAAGACACCCCCCTTTCACCCCGCATAAAGGTCAATGATGCTCAGCCGGCGCGGCTCAGGGGTTGAGCGTTGACCTATGAACCAGGAGGTCAGGGTTCAATTCCTGGTCCGGGCACATGCCCGGGTTGCAGGCTCGACCCCCAGTGCGGGGCGTGCAGGAGGCAGCTGATCACTGTCTCTCTCATCATGGATGTTTCTCTCTCCCTCTCCCTTCCTCTCTGAAATCAATAAAAACATACAAATAGTTTACAAAACAAAAGGCCTCTGTGCTCAGAGGGAGAAGAGGGTAGGGCGAGGTCTCTGCAGGGCGTGGCTGTGCCCTGCGGGGCCGGGGCCCTGGGGTGGCCGCTGGCCTGGCCGGGGGGGATGGCCGCTGGAGGGAGCAGGATCTCACCCCAAGGATGTCTCTGCCCCGAGCATTATTTTAGGCCGATTACCTTGAGAACCAAAGACCCAGGGCGGGCTTTTTCCTCCCCCTGGACCGCCTACAGGGACTTGGACAGAGGGCCTGGTCCAGGCTGGGGGGGGGCGGGGTGCGCCAGCAGGGCCTGCACCACGTCCTGTCCGTGTCCCACCGTCCCTGCAGCCCCAGCAAACACCTGCTTGCCTTCCTGTGAATTGTCCTGCATGTGCCTGACGGGAATCGAACTGTGACCAGGTTCATAGGTCGACGCTCAACCCCTGAGCCACACGGGCCAGGCAGGATCGGTTTCTATTTTGTTGAGTCTCTGAAGCACCAGAGGCCCCTGCAGTCCAAACGTCCCCATTCTGGTGGACGAGGGGTGGGGAGCCCTGCGGGCGGAAGTCCCACTGGGACCCCAGGCGCTCAGTCTCGCCGCGACCGGACATCTGGACAGCGAGGAATCAAGGAGGGAGCGGACACTCGCCGACCACCTAGGGCCACTGGTCTGTGACCCTCAGAGCTTCTCCCCAGGGGTGAGCCTCAGAAGCAAATCAATAGAACAAAATGCACAACATGAAGCGCCCCCCCACCCCCTCACCCCCGCCACTTCCCCCCTCCCCCGGCCCTCGAGCCCCAGCACAGTGTCTGCTACCTGCGCACCCCACAGGGCACATCCTTGGAGGTCACTGGGCAAGAGCAGGGAGGCCTGGGACTGCGGCGTCTGCCCACTATGCACACACACACATGCACATGCACACAGGTGCACACATATGCACACACAGCGGTGTGCTTACAAAATACACGGGCCCCACGGACCTTCTTTGAGGCCCACAGCAGTTGTCTATTGAGCACCTACTGTGCGCCAGGCACCGCCAGGGACCTGGGGTACAGCGGCGGCCAAGACAGCAAGTCTCCCCTGAAGCCACAGGACAGAGGAGACAGAGGACGAGCAGGCCCCAGTGGGTGGGGCGCTTGGGGAGGAGACAACGGAGAAAAGGCCGGAGGGAGGGAGGTGTGTCCAGGCATAGGAACAGCCAGGGTCCTGGGGTCAGAGCCAGCATGTGTCCCAGGAAGGCCAGGAGGCCATCGGGTGGGGGAGGGGCTGCAGGGGAGGAGGTCAGAGGGCACCGGAGGGGCATTCAGGCAGGACATGCGGCTTTTACTCTGAGAGGCATGGCCGGAGCAGGGGGCGTGGAGGGAGATACCACCTGGGCAGGCTCTGCCCACGCAGCCAGCGGGTCCTGGGAACAGATGTGGGGTGTGCGGGAGGGAAGGCGGGGAGGTCGGTGCTGGGGGTTGGGCCTGAGGCCCTGGAAGGGTGGGTGGGTCGCCGGGCTCAGGGCAGGTGGGAGGCCTGAGGGATGCGTTGGGGGTGGGTAGGAGCTGGGCTTCAGAAACAGGAAATGGAGCGGCTCCTCCGACACTGGGTGGGGGGCCCCAGCGGCTGTCTAGGTGACGGCTCTGGGCCAGGAGGGCTGACCCGGTGCTGCCAGGACATGAGAACCCACGGAGCGGGCAGGGCCCCGCGGAGCAGACGACAGCCCAAGGGGAGGAGGCATCAGGATGCGGAGTGGAAAGTCAGCGGGTGAGACCCACCTGCCGCGCTATGACACCCTGAGGCGCCGCCGGCCACCCTCGCCCGGCGACCCCTCGCCCAGCCTGTGCCTGGGCTCCCACGTCCATGCAGCTCCTCCCAACACCCCATCCCGAGCTCAGCCACACTCCCACTCCCAAGCGGGCGGGAGCCTCACACTCTCCCTAAGGAAGGAGATGGAATTCTAACGAGGCAGCCGGTGCCGCCAGCAGAAGCGGCGGAGCTGCTCGGGAAGTGCTTGGGGCGAGCGGGCTTCCCTGGCCCCGGAGGCGCTGCCGGCGCCCACTGGCCTCAGTTTCCACTTCCAGGAAAGGAGGCAGGTCCCGGCCGGCGCCGCCCCCCCACCCGCACCCCCAGCCTTACCGGGAGCGGGGGGCAGCCTGCGCCCACACTCGCAGCAGAACTTGGGGGCGTCCTCTTTGGAGACATGGCCGCAGGAAGGACACTCCATGCCGCCGGCGCCTGCGGAGCTGGAAGCGCGAGTCGAGGAAGCGCTGCCTTTATTCCCAGCCGCCGGTCACATGACCACTGTCCGCTTCAGTTTCATTTTCTGGAAAGTGAAATTGCAAACAGCTCAGAAGTCCCAGCTTCGTGGAAACCCAGCTGAGCCCCTCCCCTGCAGCTCACAGCCTGGCCTCCCACCGTCCTCCCCTCCGGGTCCCTGCTGTCCCCCCACCCCCACCCCGGCTTAGGCACCCACTTCCTTTGCTGCTGCCCCGCCCCTGCCCGCCCCTCCCCAGCCCGGCTCTGAGCTCTCCATCTCTCAGAGGCCAAGGTTGCCCCGCCCGGCTGAGGCTGCGACTGGGGCCGGGGGCTGAGGAGGGGCGGGTGGAAGCAGGGAGCGTCCCCGGAGGGCACAGCACATGCAAAGCCCCCGGAGTTGTGGGTGAGGTGCCCGCTGCGTGCCCAGGGCCAGGTGCTACCAAGACAAAAGCCCTGGTTCCCGGGTGAGGAGGCTCAGGTGAGGCATCCAGACGGAGCCCACAGACAGGACAGCCCCGGGGACCGGGAGAGCTGGCCGCAGGGACGGCTGCGCAGGGCTGCTGGGCCCCAGCCAGGGGCCTGCTGACGGGCAGGGGTCGCCACCTACGAAGCCCGATCTCCTGTCTGACCGCTGCCTGGGAACGCCCACTGCGGGGGGGGCGGGGGGGGGAGAGCGTGGACGCACGGGCGGGGCCATGCTTGTCCAGGCCAAGGCCAAACTCAGGCCAAGGGTCCCCGCCCCCAGGGCCGCGGGGCACACCAGGGGGAGAGAGGACGGTCTGGCTGCTGGAGCCGAGGTCCGCCTGCCCTGCCGCGAGGCTAGTCCCTCCTGCTGAGGCCCCGCCTCCCCTCACTGCTCTGGGCAGGGCTGCCTGCCCGCTGCTACTGCGGCTCGTCTCCACCAAACGGTGACCTCCACGGGCAGGGCAGGGCAGGGCCAGGTCGAAGACGCTCGGGTGTGCGGTGCCCTGGCTTCGCCTGCCACAGCCAAGCCCTGGCCTCCACCTCGCCCTCCCCACCACAGCCCGGAAGCCACCCCCACCATGGCTTGGGCACTCTCTCTCTCAAAGACCTTCCATGGCTCCCACAGCCCAGGCCTCTCGAATCCCCAAGCTGTCCTCCCCATGCTCTTCCTCCCCACAGACCAGAAGCGCCAGCGGCTCCGAAACCCACGGTGTCACCTGCACCAGGGCCTGGGGCTGGGGGGATGCCTTCTCTACTCAACCAGCTGCCAGGCCTTCCTTCCCGTTTATTTCTAACCACTGAACTGTGCCAAGCTCAAAGCCCCCCCCCAACCCGGAAAACCAGGGCTGAGGTGAGTGGGAGACGAGTGGGTGGGGCTGAGGTGAGTGGGAGATGAGTGGGTGGGGCCGAGGTGAGTGGGAGACGAGTGGGTGGGGCTGAGGTGAGTGGATAGGAGACGAGTGGGTGGGGCCGAGGTGAGTGGGAGACGAGTGGGTGGGGCCGAGGTGAGTGGGAGACGAGTGGGTGGGGCCGAGGTGAGTGGGAGACGAGTGGGTGGGGCCGAGGTGAGTGGGAGACGAGTGGGTGGGGCCGAGGTGAGTGGGAGACGAGTGGGTGGGGCCGAGGTGAGTGGGAGACGAGTGGGTGGGGCCGAGGTGAGTGGGAGACGAGTGGGTGGGGCCGAGGTGAGTGGGAGACGAGTGGGTGGGGCCGAGGTGAGTGGGAGACGAGTGGGTGGGGCTGGAGCGGGTGCAGACCCAACCGTCTTGCCTCTCCCTCATTCTGTGCCCCCTCCACCCGCTGGCTCTCAAGGCCACCATCAAGCAGGTGCCCCCGGCCCTGAGCCCTGCCAGGCAGCCGTCCTGTTGGGAGAAGCCGCGCTCTGGGTGGCTGGGGCTGTGGGCAGGGAAGCCATTCTTGTAAAGTTACTGTTTCCCGAACAATTCTTTTCTGTCACTGCAACTGGCAAAAGGGCAGGATTCCCGGGGAGGCGCCGCCCCGGGTCTGGCCGCCCGGTCCACCATCCGCCCGGGGAGGCCCTTCTCAGGTTCTGACTTCACGCTTCTGGCCCAGGGTCGCCTCGCCTGCCCCGGGGTTGGGCCTCCCTCGGGGAGTGTTGTGAGGCCCTGGAATGCACGGTGCCGGAGGGCTGGGCGGGGCGGGGCGGGGCTGGAGGGCGGGGTGGGCGGGACCCAGGCTGCAAAACCGAAACCTGTGCCCGGGGAAGAGGCGGCTGGAGGAGAGGGGACAGAGGGGAGGGCTTGGTGGGGGACAGACACCTGGACGCAGAAGCCACTGCCCAGCTCTCCCTGCTGCGACCCAGACCCTCTGCGGGCTCCAGCACAGCACCCCCCACCACCACCTCCCTAGGCCACTTGGTTTCGTTTCCGCCTCAGTCCCGCCCCTCCTCCCGCCCCTGGCAGTGCTGCAGGGTCCCTGCTGGTGTGACCGGAATGTCCCTGCTGGTGACGGTGGCGCCCCCCAGTGGACCCGTGCCCGGGGGCGCTGCCTGCCAGGAGGCGGGGGAGGGGGTGGGGGGGAAGCACTGACTCCAGCCAGTCTGCACCCTGGTCTCCCCCAGCCACATCCGCCCCCGCTGCCCTGATACCGGGGCCCTTGGTAGCCGAAGTGGGGAATGCGCGCAGGTCCCCAGCCCAGCACCCAGTGCCCTGCACAGTATCCACGCCCCTGCAGAGCCCGTGGCAGTGGGAGAAGGGCCACGGCCACCAGGCAGGTCCCTGACAAGCTTCAGGCCACTCGGGTGCAAAGGGGAGGTCACAGCCCCATCCTATGGCGGCCAGGGGCCCAGTGAGTGACCACAACTTGGCAGTGGACGCCTGCTGCCCCGCGCAGGCCCCTGGTCACTGATAACCAAGAGGCCACGGGGTCTGGTCTCACCCCACCCTGCTCTGTGCCTGCTTCTTCGTCTGTGAGCTCCTGGCCCCGCACCCCAGGGCTGCTCAACAACAACAACAACAACACAGCCAGGGCTGGTGCTCAGGCCCGCAGCCAAGTGTGCGATACTCTTCCTCACTCCTCACCTTCCTCTCCCCCAACCAGAGCAGCCTGAGGCGCTCCTGGGAGCCTGGCACCGCCACTGCGGCTACAAATGCCAATTAAAGTGATTATTCCCGCCCGCGCGCGCGGCCGGCCGGTGTGACTCAGGGGTTGAGCATCCACCTATGAACCAGGTCAGGGTTCAATTGCAGGACTGCGCGCAGCCAGTGTTTCGGCCCCGAGCAGAGGTCGCGGGGCGCGTTCTTGCATTCACGCAGCCTCCACGGACGTGGACTCTGGTGTACAACCAGTCACCCCCCCATCTAGCTCACCTGGGATCCAGGCAGGATCCAGGGAGCGTCCACGGCTGTGGCCTTTGACCTGGTGGTGACTTCCTGGGGGCCCCAGCAGAGCTTGCCAGAAAGAAAGGGGGGGGGGGGCAGCCTGGCCCTGGTCACCAAGCTCTCTGTCCTTGGAGGGAGCGCACCTAATTGGGCGGGCCTTCCGGTCCTAGCGGTAGGGGCTCTGTGGGGACTCAGTGCTCAGCCACACTCCACGGTGGGACCCAGCAGGCCAAGGGAATGCCCGGCCCTGCCCCACGCTGCCACTGCCACCATCAGATGGTGGGGGCGCCAGTGGACCTCATCCGTGTCCAGGGGCACAAGGGCCGCAGCCTGGACCCTGTCCGGCTGGTGGCACCTCTGCTGAGTGTCCAGAGGGCGGTGGAGGCTGTGGACCTGCCCTGGAGCCGCAGAACCAGCTCAAACTGGTCCTGTCCTGCTTCTAACGAGATCTGGAACCCAAGTTTCCCCCACTTACGGGGGACCCGTGGAACCCACTTACACGGGACATGTGTGAGCCCTTAACTGCTTCCCCCATGGAACCACGAGAACGGAAGCCATGGGAACCTCAGGCCACAACGGGGGGGGGGGGGGGGGGGGCTGTCCAGGGAGACCTGGTGCTGAAGCCCCTTAGGATCCCGCCGGAACCCTGGATGGGGAGCGATTTGAGCCCCGCCCAGTCTCCTTGCGCTGAACTCGCAATAAAAGCTCTTCCTTCTCCCCAAAGCCGGGCCATAGTATCGGTTCCTATGCTGGGGTCAGGTTCCTATGCCGGGTGACCCCGTGTGGGCCTCAGGCTCTGGGCCGTCCCGTCACAGGTCCCTCCACAACAGCTGCCGCTACCCCTTAGTGCCAACGACACGCCAGGCCGCTCGTCCCCCTCTGCTCCCTCTAATCTGTGTGACGGGAAGGGTCAGGGACAAGGGATACTGGGCACCACAGCCGTCTGCACAGGAGGCGGCTCACTGCTGCCCAGCACAGCGGTCCTCGTGTGACTCCGCAGGGGGAATTTCCAACCCGCCTGCCATGCTGCCGGGCGACAGTGCGGGTAGGAGCCCAGGAGGGAAATCACGCCCATGCAGAATCCCGGCAGCCACAGAAACCACGGCTTCCCTGGTTACCACCACGGCAAACACCTCCCCGCAGGGACTGCAGGGAGCCAGCTCACAGAGCACCGTGGGGACCCCACGCGCCCCAGCTGGGCTCACCCACACGGACTGGGGATGGCTTCCTGAAGCTTTCAATGTAAGCATCTGACTCTTACAGAAACATGAAGGTTATTACTTTTTTTAATTAAAAAACAAACGCGCAAACGTGCCCGGGCTGGTTTGGCCCCGCGGACAGTGTCGGCCCGTGGACAGAAGGGTCCCGGCTGGACTCCAGTGAAGGAGCGCAGCTGGGTTGCAGGCTCATCCCCGGCCCCGGTCGGGGTGCGCGTGGAAGGCACCCAGCGATGTTTCTCTGCCTCTCCCCTTCCCTTCCGCTTGCTCTAAAAATCAATGGAAAAATACCTTCCCATGAGGATTAACAACTACAGTGAAAATTCACTGTGCAGCCTCACCGCCCTTCAGCAGACACGAGGCCATTGGCACACTTTGTTCCTCCCAGAACGGCAGGGGGCCGGGGCCGAAGGGGGGCGGGGAACAGCACCCCCGGCAGATGCGCCCCACCCGCCCCCCAAGCCAGGAAGGGGCTGGGCTGCGGGGACCCTTCCTGGCCCAGGCTGACAGCCTGGGGTCTGTCTTTCTAGAAGTCTCTCTCCAAACAAGGGCTCTGCCCCAGGTCGGCAGGAGGGCAAGCTTCCATCGTCCCGGGGGGAACCAGTGGGGCCATGTCCTTCCTCCGGGTCCCGCTGCAGCTTCCGCAGACCCTCCGGCCAGCGCAGCGTCCGGCCTCGCAGGAGAACCTTCGGCCGCCCTGCCCTCGGGCGCTCCGGCCTTCAGCAGGGCAGCGAGGGCTCCGGGACAGGGTCGTCGCTGAAGCTGTGGGGCTGGGTGCCCGGCTCCTGACTCAGGTATTTCTCTGCAGAAAATGCAACATGTTTTTGCCCGGCCGGCATGGCTCAGTGGTTGAGCGTCGACCTATGAACCAGGAGGTCCGTTCCCATCAGGGCACATGCCCGGGTTGAGGGCTCGATGCCCAATCGGGGACATGCAGGAGGCAGCCGATCCATAACTCTCTCTCATTAATGTTTCTCTCCCTCTCCCCTCTCCCTTCCTCTTTTTTAAAATATATTTAAAATAAGCAAACAAACACAACATTTTAAAGTGCTAAACAAGCTCCAGTGAGACGGGGTCAGCTCACAGAATGGGGTTAAAGGCCTCACTCATCTCAGGGTCCCTGGGCGGCACCCACGCCCTCGTCACTGCATCCCTCTCCGCACCACAGTGGCCCTGATTGGTGGCTGTGCCTGCCTGTCATCCCCGCCCCCGCCCCCTGCACCCTCCTCCTATGCAGGGGCATCAGTGCTGCTCCTTCCAGCAACAACAGAGACGTCTCGGTGCCACACGGAGCCGAGAAACCAGACACGACCAGGGTCTAGGACCGTCCATGGTGCTCGAGATGAAAGGACGGGCTCCCCTCGCGGGCAGGGCTGCTCAAGAGTGACAGCCTTTTCTACATCCCGCTGGGGCGCCCTGCAGGGCCCATCAGAACCCGGACTGAAGTCGAAGATCTCTGCGACTCACTGTGTGCAAACTGGGCCTCAACCTCAGACACGCCCCGAAAAATAGAACCCCCACCCCAGAGAGTCCATCCTCGCTCCTCACAACCAAACGCAGCGTCCGAGCCCAGAGTCCACGGTGACCTGCCGGCACCTACCTGCCTCCTCCAGGCTGGGGAAGTGCTGGAAATTCAGGTCAGCGGACAGCAGGACATGGAGCACGGGCTCCTGCGGGACAGAGAGAGGTCAGCGCCGGGCAGGGACACCATGCTGTGGCCACGGGGCAGCCCACCCAGCGCCCACAGGCGAGCACGGTCTCTCTCACCGTCCCCAGGTGGGTACCACTCCCCCCTCAGGGAAACGGAGTACAGACCAGGCCCCCGGGGACAGGGACGGTGTTAAGAGAGATTTTTAGGCCTGGCTGGCATGGCTCACTGGTTGAGCATTGATGTATGAACCGGGAGGTCATGGTTCAATTCCAGGTCAGGGCACATGCCCCGGTTGTGGGCTCAACTTCCAGTAGGGGGCGTGCAGGAGGCAGTCGATCAGTGATTCTCATCATTGATGTTTCTCTCTCTAACTCTTCCTTCCTCTCTGACATCAATCCTATATAATAAAAGTACAGCATGCCCTGACCAGTTTGGCTCAGTGGAGAGAGCATCGGCCTGCGGACTGAAGGATCCCGGGTTGATTCCGGTCAAGGGCATGTACCTTGGTTGCGGGCACATCCCCAGTGGAGGGTGTGCAGGAAGCAGCTGATCGATGTTTCTCTCTCATCGATGCTTCTAACTCTCTGTCCTTTCCCTTCCTCTCTGTAAAAAAATCAATAAAATATATTTAAAAAAATTTTTTTTAAAAAAAGCACAGCATGCAAATTGTCCCCTTGACCGGGAGTTCGACCAGGGGGCGGGGCCGGCCGGGGGAAGGGAGGGAGTACCCGGCTGGCAGCCAGCAGCCACTAGGGACCCTACCAGTGCATGAATTTCATGCACTGGGCCTCTAGTAAAATTGTATTTTAAGAAAAGAGAAGTATTTTTAAATAAGTACAAAGAACACAGACGAGTGTCTTGCAAACATGACACAGAACCTAACGGTCAGGAGCAAAGCCCTGAGGCCAGATGCCGAGTGGGATGCATGGCCGCCATCCTCGCTGTGTGGCCTTGGGCAAGTTTCTCAGCCTCTCTGGGCCGTGACACCCTCGTCCCGGCAGGAGGATGGTGATAACACCGGCCTCAGGGCTGGTGAGAGCGGCAGGTGCCGGCTGTTTGGGATGCCCACCTGCAGGCCGACGAGGGCGAGGGTGAGGCCCTGCCGCCGGAAGTCCTCCAGCAGCTCCCGGAGCCCCAGCACCACCGTGTAGTCGAGGCTGCAGATGTGGCTGCACTCCAGGACCGCGCAGCGCGGTGGGGACACTGCAGGAACAGGCGCGGGCAGTCACACCGGGAGGGGGAGGCATGGGCACGGCGAGGCCATGGACAGCTCCGGCCCGGCGGGAGGAGTCCGGGGGCCGCGACAACAGCCCTTTCCCTTCTCCCCAAACACCAAGTCCCAGAGGGATCAGGCGCTCAGGGCAATGCTGGGGAAACGCCACCCTCACTGAGCGCCGGGAGTGAGGGGCCAGGCCCGGGGGATGCCACTGGGGATGCCCAGACCTCCTCCCTGACCGAGGGCAGGGCCTGGGGCCCCGGGAGCAGGCTGGGTGCGGAGGGGACGCGGGGAGCTCGGACGTCACACGCAGCCATCCCTGCCGGCCACGTACCTCCCAGGGCCCGGCTCGTCACGGCCTCGCGCAGGGCCTCAACAGCGGGGAAGTGCAGGCCGCCAGCCGGCTGCACCACCAGCACCGGCCACTCAGACACCTGGCACGGGGCGGGGGAGCCGTGAGTCCTGGGGGCACGTCGGGTGGGGCAGTGGGCCAGGCCGGGGGAACAGGGGCAGAGCTGCACGAGCCCTCACCGCCCCCGCCCACCGCGCAGGGAGCTGTGGTCACTCCCGCCACCGGCTGAGCCGTCGCTCAGCAGTGCCCTGGGCCACACCCACACGGGACGCTCAAGATGCAGAGCCAGGGTCCTGCGCGGGGTCCTGCCCCTCGGCCCAAGGCCGGCAGGCCCTGCGGGCGGCGGTGGCGGTACCTGCACGCCGGGCCTGGCCACGGAGCGCAGGAGGACCAGCAGGGACACCAGCGTGCCCGCCAGGACGCCGTACTGCACCTCCCAGAAGCAGAGCAGGAAGGTCACGCTCAGGGGCAGCAGGTCCAGCCCTGAGGAGAGGGGTGCGCTGAGGCCTCCTCCGGCAGGTGTCAGGTCGGGGTGGGGGGGGGCAGGAGGAGGGGAGACCCCCACCCCTGCAGGGGCTGAAGGCACTCTCGGGGCCTGACCCCTGACCCCGGGGTGACACCTCCCAGAACCATGTGAGCTTCCAGCTCCAGCTGGCACTGTGGTCGGGGACAGCAGGGCTGCCGCGACCTCGCACTGACAGACGCGGAGCCACGTACTCCTCACGCGCCACAGCGTGCAGGCAATCCCGGTGTCCAGCAGCGGGGCCACGGCCATGATGATGACGGCCGCCAGCGCGGCCTTGGGGATGTAGTAGAAGAGCGAGGTCAGGTAGCCCAGCGACAGCAGCACCAGAACCCCTGTGTGTGTGTGGGGGGGAGACACCACTGACCAGGGCCCTGAGCTCACCCAGGACTCAGGGGGATCCCGCCCGGGATGCAGCGGGGGGCCAGGCCGACTGCACTGTGGTCCTCCTGCCCCTTCCTCCCATGTCACGGCCTCAGCACACAGGGGTGCAGTGTGTGGGGGCTCACCTGTCACCAGGCCCCCCGCAGGGGTGCACACCCCCGACTGGGCATTCACGGCCGTCCTGAAGGCGACATGGAGACCATCAGTGGCGGCCAGGGCAGGGGGTGTCAGTCCACACAGGCAGCTGGTCTCCGGGGACAGGGGTGCCCCAAGGCTTAGGAGCACCTGGAGCTTTGGGCACAGCGATCAGCCTCCCACTGGCTGCGGTGCCCTCCCCCTGACCCTGCGCAGGCAGCCCCGCCCGCAGAGCCTTGAGGGCTGAGCCCACTAAGCAAGGCCCTCGTCCTGACTGCTGTCCTTCTAAGGAGACGGGTCAGGACAGACACGCCAGGACGGACACAGGGACGACCACGTGGGGGACGCAGCGAGACGGCACCTGCCAGCCACGAGCGTGGCCCCAGAAGAAGCCACGCCGCCGGCTCCGGGCCTCCTGAGAGAGGCACCCGGGTCTGGGGCTGGAGCCGCCATAGCTGGCGCTGGTTGGGCGGATCTGCCCAATAACACGCCCGCCCCCGGGGTCCCGGGCCCTGGGGAAGGATGCGGGGGGGCGGGGCTGCTGCTTTCATGGAGAAAAACTGACGGGGCTGTCAGGTGAGGGGTCCCACTTAACCCATACACACGTCACATGTGCGGACACACGAGTGCATGTGAGTACATACTTGTGAGCACAAACACCCGTGAGGACGCCAAACCCGCCGTGGGCTCCTGGGGGCAGGCCTGGCGGGAACAGGCTCCTTCCTGGCTCAGCCGCAGGGGCTGTTGGGAGCCCTGCACCCACACCTGATATAGGAGCTCTCTGCCCAGAACCCCCTCCACCACCCGCGGCCGACCCAGCAGCAGGGGGCTGCCTCATCCACCCGCCAATGACGAACCGCGCCCCGGGCCAGCTACACCCCTCGGGGCGCACCCTGCTGCGTGCGCCTGTCCATGGAGGCCTTTCCCGGCCGCCGGCCGCCCCCAGGGAAGCTGATCGGGGAGCCGACAGGACCTCAGCCTCGGCCAGGACCTCCCAGGGACTCAGACAAGCAGGGCGGACACTCACCGTCCGAAGCTGCCGGTGACCGGGAAGGAAGAGAAGAAGGAGCCCAGAACGTTGGTCAGGCCTGGGCGTGAAGCGGGAGAGGGTTACCGGGAGGGAGAACCAGGCGGAGGTGGCGGACGGAGTAAAGCCAGAAGGAAACAGGAGATGGGGGGTCAGGGGGGGCCCTGGGGATGCCCCATTCCTGACGGGAAGGGCGAAGATGCCAAGCTCCCCAGTGGACGCTCGCTTTCCTGCTGTGGGAGTTAACACGCTCTCTTCCCGCAGGACAGAGAGGCGCCCCCAGCAGGGGACGGCGAGTTCACAGCAGGTCCCCACCATGCACTGCACATGATAACCCAGTGGACGGAGCCCGCCCAGGCCAGGCACGGGCCTAAGGACCGAGCTCGCGGGCCCACGTCCATCGGCGCACAGCCTCCGTCTCCTCCAGGGACCGTCACAAAGACCACGGTCTCCCCTGCTTCTGAAAAACCCACCACGGGACCCAGGTCCAAGTCCTGCTCAGGGTGGGTCCACTCAGAACCAGGACCTGCTTATGTTCTAAGATCCGGCCAGACATCAGCTGGCGAGGCAAAGGCCACGGTCACCCCTAGGCTCACTGATGTTTCTCTCTCTCTCCCTCCCTTCCTCTCTGCAATCAATGAAAAATATATACGTTAAAAAAATATATATATACATACATATATACATATATATATACATATATATACATATATATATATGTATATATATATATATGTCTCTTTACTTAAAAGCAGCAATGATCACAGAATTGAAGACTCAAGCCGTGGTCTCAAAAGGAACCACCACAGAGGCCGGGGCCACAAAGACAAAAGAAAAGGAAGTGTGACGTCTGGCACAGGCCCCTCCCGGCCAGGCAGCCACGAACAGGAGGGGGCACCGCACCCCAGCAGAGTCAACCTGGCCCCGAGGGGAGGCGCCCTCGGCATTTACTCCTCGGCATTTACCAGCCGCAGGCCCAGGGTGTGGTCCACAGCGGCTCAGTAAGCTGCAGTCGGATGGGCCAGCTCCCTCCGCGAGCAGCTGAGCCCCGCGGGGACCTGAGAGGGAGTCCACGCTAACACCGCCAGAACGGGCATCGCTACCATCGGCCCAACTCGACAGGCGGAGATGCGCCCGGCGGGCCCTCACCGATGGACAGCAGCTCCTGGTTGGCGTCGATGCGGTAGTTATTCTGAGACGCTGAAGAGAAGGAACGATAAAACCCGTCACCACACAGAAGACCTCACTAGGAAAATGTTCATGAGATGAAAAACAGGCTACACATTCCCACCTACAGCACTCGGTCTGGAAGCGTAAATGTAAACATGCATGAACCATACGCGAACGTACACGCACACGCGGTGTGTGTCTGTGGGTTTCAGACGAAAGCGGGCGAGCGAGGCAGGCGGCGTCTTACCGAAGGCCTTGGCCACGGCGATGCTCTCCAGCAGCCCCATCAGCGGCACCACGGCCAGCCCGGCCCCCATGTCCTGAGGGGAGAGGGAGGGCGAGTGACCCGCAGGGGCAGGAAAGGGCTCCCCCTTCCCGCCAGCGGTGCAGCTCAGGGGTGGATCATCTACCTATGAACCAAGAGGTTTCCGGTTCGGTTCCGGGCAGGGCCCAGGCCGGGGTTCCGGGCACATCCCCAGCGGGGGACGTGCAGGAGGCAGTTGATGGTTCTCTCTCATCATTGATGTTTCTCTCTCTCTCCCTCTCCCTTCCTCTCGGAAATCAATAAACATGTTTTTTTAAAAAATAAAGGGCAGGAAGGGGCCGAGTAGGGAAGAAGGGCAGGTACACACCCGGGGACCAGCACAGGCTTTCAAGGAAAGAAAGAAAGGACTTCCCTTCCCGATGCCGCCTCGGCTCAGGGTCACACCACCATCAGTTTGTAGCGGGTCCGACTCCCATCTTCCTTAATTTTGTGTTTCTGATCATCTTTTTGTTGTTTCGGTTTCGTGTGGTTTGGCTTGGGGCACGGGGCGGGGTATCTTGGAATGCTGCTCTGTGAAGCCAGAGCAGACACCGGCCGCCCACAGGCACAGGAGGCACACGCACTCGGCTGCAGGGCTGTGAGCTCACACACGCCTGGTGCGGACGCAGCACACCCTGCTACCGTGTGCACGAGGCAGAAAAACAAGTGTGAGGCCCTGGGGCTGTGCCCGATCTGGAATTCTCCCCTGCCTGTCCCTGCCCCCAGACACCCCTTCCCGAGGACCGGGCAGTCTGTCCGGGCTCAGGGCTCCCTGCCACCAGCGGGTGCCTTCGGGGGATAGACCAGGCCCCGAGGCCCCTGCAGCCCAAGCAGGCGGCCTGGCTCCCTCCCTACCCACCTGGACCATCTGGGTGAAGGAGACCGTCCCGTTGGCCGTGGTCACTGAGAAGGGGGGGGCCTGCACCGCAGGGAGCCCCTGCACCACCTCCCCAGTGAGGACGAAGGGCCGGTGCCCGGCCACGTCGCAGGAGTAGGCCATCAGGGCGGCGCCGGAGACCACCAGGGCATTGCGGGCTGCGGACGGAGGGGGCCTGTGAGGACACCTGGCTCCTCTGGAGAAGGAGCAGGAGCCCCCCAGCCACGCCCCCTCACGCTCCTCCCTGGGGGAGGGTGCGGGTGGAAAACCCCCAAAGCAGAGCCGTGCCCTCAGCTGCACTGCACATCAGAACCACCCCATGCGCTAAACGTCCCAGGCCGGAGCCACACCGAGACCGGGCAGGGAGAGTCTCTAGGGTGGCTCCACCCAGCACCCGCGCCCCAGGCACCCATCGGGAGGTGGGGCCCAGCTGTGGGACTGGCCTCCACAAGGCCCTCACCGGTCGTGGCCGTCCAGACCAGCCCGAGGCTGAGCCTCACTCCGGGGGGCGTGTCGGGGTGCACGGGGGGCGCGTGGGCCCGCATCAGCCGCAGCAGCAGCAGCAGCAGCAGGCAGACCAGCCCCAGCACAGCATCGCCCACCCTGCGGACAGACGCCGTCACCGCCGACTGGCCCACAGGTGACCCCCTGCCCGAAACCTCTCTCGGTGGCTCTTTGTGCTTCCAGGGAGTCAGCCGAGGCCATCAGAAGGCAGGAGGACGGCACAGCGCTCCCCATGCCTCCAGGCCTCAGCACCGCTCCCCACAGCCCTGGCAATCACTTCTTCCCTCTGCTTCCCTGCAGAGGGGTCCCGGCTCCCAGCGGGACTCAGCGAGGAGCACCTCCTGTCGTCCCTCTCACCTGCACCCCCTCTGGGAGGGCCCCTCCACTGGAGGGCCATGCTCGATGCGGGAACCCTGGCTCTCATCGTGGCCCTACCTGCCACCCGTCGCCCGGGCACCGAGGCGTGCCTTCCCCCGGCCGTGTCCTCTCCTCCACACTGACCTCCTGCCCTTCTCAGAGGGGCCTGGTCCTTCTCTATCACACGGTCTCTTCCCACTGCTACCCCCCAAGAGAGGCTGCCGGGAGCCGACTCTCCCCCTGCACATGCCCCTGGCTGACTCAGCAGCTCTGGGCTCCCGGTGATGCCGACAGGGCTGCCCTAGGGAACCGTGTTTGAGCAGCAAGGCCCAGAGTGGAGGAGGGGGGCCAGGAGCAGGGTGTGGGGGGAGCTTCCCTGTGCGGGGGGCAAAGGCAGGCGGGCTACCTGGTCTCCCCGAGGCTGCGGAAGGTGTGGTACAGCTGCAGGAAGAACTGTCTGGGGACGCGCTGCAGTCCCAGCAGGTTCTGGCCAAAGGGGCTCTGGTCAGACGCCCTTCCCCAGTGAGGCCCGAGGCTCCGCCCACCGGGCCCCAGGGACCACCTGGCCATGCCCAGCCCCCAAAGACGGACAAGTGAACCCCAGGAGAGGGCATTTCACAGCCTTTCGGGGCAATGACACGCCCTGCCATTATTTTCATCTCCCAGGAAAACCAATCTGGAGGACCTCCAGGGAAGGAGACCCACTGGTCCCACCTCGCCCATCCGGCAGGCCCTGTTGTAATTGGCTTGCAGCCGTGTCGGTCACGGTGCGGCCCGCCCCCCGCCACGCAGACTCCTCCACCATTGGCCCAAGGATGTGTCCATCACCAGAGGCTTACCTTGATCTGCCCGACACCAATGGTGATGGCAGCGGCGGAGGTGAAACCTTTGATGACGGGGCAGGAGATGAAGTCCAGCAGGAACCCTGGCGGCCAAGGGGGACACTGAGCTGGTCCTGGAGGCCGCGGTGCATGGAGGCCGGGGATGGACATGGGCCAGAGAGGGGGCGTGGGTGGGGCTGGGGCTGAGTCTGGTGGGCGCACACCGTTTGGCAGGTTTGGAGAGCAGAAGGCCAGGCTCGGGTCTGAGGCCTTAGGCCCTTCTCCAAGCAGCCTGGCTCCTAAGCAGAATAGGGGAGTGCGGGGGGCTGAGGCGCCCCACCTACCCTCACAGGGACCCTCACAGGGACCCTCACAGGGACCGCCCCTGAAAGGCCAAGAAGTGTTGCGAGCAGCCCGGCTGACGTGGCTCAGGGTTGAGCGTTGACCCATGAACCAGGAGGTCACGGTTTGATTCCGAGTCAGGGCACAGGCCCGGGTTGTGGGCTCGATCCACAGTACAGGGTGTGCAAGAGGCAGCCGATCCATGATGCTCTCATCATTGACGTCTCTCTCTCTCCCTCTCCCTCCCTCTCTGAAATCAACAGAAATATGTATTTTCCAATGTTGAGGGCAGGGCACCCTGAGACAGGTGTCTCAGTTGGCTGCCCAGGAAGAGCAGAACCGCAGCTCCCCACCCCCACCCCAGGCAGCCCCACGCAGGAAGGCCCGGGGCCTCACCCAGGCACAGGAACCGCATGGCTAGCTGGACGCAGCCGGACAGGAAGGCGAGCAGCACGGCGTAGGCAGGCTCACGGAAGGTGTAGGAGGAGACCAGGAGGGACATGACGGCCGTGGGGCCCAGAGTCACGTCGCGGGAGGTGCCCAGGAAGAAGTACACGAAGCACCCCACGAAGGCAGAGTAGAGGCCATACTGCCAGGGAGAGAGCAAGGACCACCCAGGAGGCGCGTCGTGGGGTCACAGGGTCACGGGGCCCCTGGTGTCCATGTCTGAGCGCAGGGCCCCGGGCCGCTGTGGCCTCGGCACACAGGCAGGGCACCTGCTCCCTCTCAGCCGCCTACGAGCACAAACGCCTGGGCTTCTGTCTGGGTCTGAGTCGGAACCGCTCTTCCAGGGGCCTCCGCCGGTCCCCAGGCAGCGCAGGACCAGCTGGTGCCGCACGGCCACATGAGGGGCCCAAAGGCAGCCACAGGTTCTAACGGCAAACCAAGGCTTCCCGGTCTGGGGGCAACACCAGGCGGGCATTTCTGCTCTGCTTCCGGCGGGCAGAGGCCCAGAGAGGAGGCAGGCGGTGTGGGGGGATGTGGGGACAGCGGGCAGACACTCACCTGGGGAGGGAGTCCAGCCACCTCCGCGTAGGCCAGCGCCTGGGGGATGACAGTGAGCGCCACCGAGAGCCCCGCGATGAGGTCCATCCTCAGCCACTGCGTGGAGTAGTGGGGCATCCAGGCCAGGAGGGGCAGCCACCTCCGCAGGGCGGCAGGGGGGCAGCTGCAGGCCCTCGGGGCCGGGCGGGGGGACCAGGGCATGGCTGGCTCCATTCTCTTCCCAGACGCCATGCCTGTGTGGGCGGGGGGCACAGTCAGGGCAGCCAGCAGCCTGCGCAGAGGGGCCTCCGACGGGGCCTCTGGATACTCAGGATACCCACAGGGGCGTCCCACAGGAAGGAGGGGGCGGCGGGGGCAAGGTCCCTGCCCAGCACCCTCCCCATCCCATCCCTCCCTTCCCTGCCCTGTGCTCTCCCCCAAGCCCACCTGCCTGCCCTCCAGGCGCCCTCCCCCTGCAGGAGCTTGCAGGAAGAACAGAAAAGTGTTTCTGGATGAGAAGCCTAAAGACACCTGGGGGCGGGGCTTCCTTTTCACTCTCCTCCCCACCCCCCCACCCACTGCGGGGAGCAGAGAGGCTGGCAGGTGGGGCAGAAGGCCCTGAGGCCCAGGTTTCCCCCCTCAGGGGTCTGCTGCGCTGGGCTGGGGGGGGGGGGGGGCGGGAGTGTCTCCCATCCTGAGGCTGCGCGGCCCCAACCCCACCTGTGGCATTCGCACCCTAGAGGGGCCCCAAGAGTTCTGGTTGGTTCAGGAAGAACCAGCGGCCCCTCCTCTCATCCCAAGTGCACAGCCCCCTCCCAGAGCCACCCCGGCCCTGGCCCCAGCGAGACCAGAGGCGGCAGGAACCTGGGAAGGGACGCGGTGGGTGGGGAGCGGGGGTCCCCGCGGGAGGCGCCCGCACCTTCGGCGACCCCGGCCCGTCCGGGCAGCTTGCCCACCACGCCCCCAAGAGGACTCACCCAAGTCGCCCCCGCGGCCCGCAAACCTGCCCGGGAGCGGGACATGGGCGGAGCCGGCGCCTCGTGACCCGCGGGGCGGCGCTGGCCTCACGTGACGCGGGACGGGGCGGACCGGGACGGGACCGGAGCTGGGACAGGGACCGGGCACCACCGCCATGCGCTGCCCCGGGCCGGTGTGCTGGGCGCTGCTGCTCGCCCTGGGGCTGTGCCGCGCGCACCGGGCGCGCCCCCGCCACGTGCTGCTGATCCTGGGTGAGTGGCCTCGCTCCCCCGCAGCCCTCACTGCCGCCGCCCGTCTCCCTCTGCGCCCCGACACCCGTGGTCCCTCCGTGGAGAGGGAGGCGGGGCAGGCTCGCTCACTGCGGGGTCTGCAGGGATCGCCCCGCATGCAGCCCCCCACTCCTTCGCCGGCTGACCCTGCACCCCTCCCCTGTCCAGAGCCCCGACCTCGTGGTCCACAGAGCCCAGCAGGGGGGCCAGAGCTGGGCGATGCCCACCTCCCCAGAGGCCAACGTGCCCTGGGGCTCCGGTCTCCCAGCGGCTTCTCTGACGCCCAGAGCTCTGAGGGTCAGCTCTCTCCCACCCACACCCTCTTCCTCAGCCCCTTCCCTCCCAGAATCTCCCAGTCCCCCTGCTCTTAGGAGACTTCCGGTTTGGGTGGCCAGCCCGGCTGTCACAGGGCAGCCCTTTCTTCCCCTTTTCTGAGGGCTGGCCCCGGGCCAGGACGCTCTGATTAACCCTGTGGTCTGTGGCCAGGCCTCAGCTCATCGCAACCTGGCCGCCCTCCACTGAGGGCTCCCTCCACGTCCCCCCCCAGGCACCAGCGGAGCCCTGCCCACGGATCACCTCCTTGTGCCAAGCCCAGTGCTGCCCCACCACACCTGCCTGCTAACGTGCCCACTTGAGCTCCCTGCCCACCTGAGCTCCCTGCCCACCTGAGGTCCCTGCCCACCTGAAGTCATGCCCACCTGAGTTCCCTGCCCACCTGAGGTCATGCCCACCTGAACGCCCTGCCCACCTGAGCTCCCTTCCCACCTGAGCTCCCTTCCCACCTGAGGTCATGCCCACCTGAGTGCCCTGCCCACCTGAGCTCCCTGCCCACCTGAGGTCATGCCCACCTGAGCGCCCTGCCCACCTGAGCTCCCTGCCCACCTGAGAGCCCTGCCCACCTGAGCTCCCTTCCCACCTGAGCTCCCTGCCCACCTGAGCGCCCTGCCCACCTGAGCTCCCTGCCCACCTGAGGTCATGCCCACCTGAGTGCCCTGCCCACCTGAGCTCCTTGCCCACCTGAGTGCCCTGCCCACCTGAGCGCCCTGCCCACCTGAGCTCCCTGCCCACCTGAGGTCATGCCCACCTGAGCGCCCTGCCCACCTGAGCGCCCTGCCCACCTGAGGTCATGCCCACCTGAGTGCCCTGCCCACCTGAGCGCCCTGCCCACCTGAGCTCCCTGCCCACCTGAGGTCATGCCCACCTGAGTGCCCTGCCCACCTGAGCGCCCTGCCCACCTGAGGTCCCTGCCCACCTGAAGTCATGCCCACCTGAGTGCCCTGCCCACCTGAGCGCCCTGCCCACCTGAGTACTGCCTGCTAACATGCTCGCTGGTTTTCACGCTTGGCTGGTAACACTGCTACTCAGGTATCATGCCTGCTGAATCAAATGCCCACTTGGTAATGCCCACCTGGGTGGCTCGCCCACCTGGGCATCACTGGCCAGGCCACTGCCGCAGGACCCAGCTCTTCCCTCCCACACATGGCTGCTCCTGAGTCCCGCTCACCGTGTCCGGTGTCCCCCGCCTCCTAGCGGATGACGGAGGCTTTGAGAGCGGCGCCTACAACAACAGCGCCATCGCCACGCCGCACCTGGACGCCTTGGCCCGGCGCAGCCTGGTCTTCCGCAACGCCTTCACCTCGGTCAGCAGCTGCTCGCCCAGCCGCGCCAGCCTCCTCACTGGCCTGCCCCAGGTGAGGGGCCGGGCAGGAGCAGGGCCTGGTGGAGGGGAGCCCTCCCTGCCCCCTGGGTGTGCTCACCTCCCATGCCCCACTCCCCACATGGCTTCCTCTGGTGAGCAGGTGCACGCTGTGGTCCCGAGGCGAGGCCGTGAGGAGGAGTCTCCATAGAGGGGCCTGTGGCCTGAGCAGACACTCCGGCTGCCAACAGGCCGCTGTGGGCGGGCCTCTGAGGGGGGAGCCTTTTGCCATCAGCTGGCATCTTCCTGGTCGGAGTGGTTACAGCCATGAGTTTACACCATAGAGCAGCCGGTTAGCAGGCCTGCGCTGGCCCTTCCCCCACGGGGTGTGCTCACACAGGGGAGCAGGGCAGTCCCGGCGAGCAGAGGAGACGGCGAAAGCCACCGGGCTTGGTGCACCTCCTCCCCGTCTCACATTTCCTGCTGATGCACCATGGCGGTGGGGAGTGAGAGTGCTGGCCCCGAAGGCTAAACAGCCGTGAGGGGCCGGGGTGATGAGCTGTCAGGCCCCCCACCCCGGGCTCACGGTGCCCCCGGCTCACGGTGTCCCCGGCTCACGGTGTCCCCGGCTCACGGTGCCCCCGGCTCACGGTGTCCCCGGCTCACGGTGCCCCGGCTCACGGTGCCCCCGGCTCACGGTGCCCCGGCTCACGGTGTCCCCGGCTCACGGTGCCCCGGCTCACGGTGCCCCGGCTCACGGTGTCCCCGGCTCACGGTGCCCCCGGCTCACGGTGCCCCGGCTCACGGTGCCCCCGGCTCACGGTGCCCCGGCTCACGGTGCCCCCGGCTCACGGTGCCCCGGCTCACGGTGTCCCCGGCTCACGGTGTCCCCGGCTCACGGTGCCCCCCCGCAGCACCAGAACGGGATGTACGGCCTGCACCAGGGCGTGCACCACTTCAGCTCCTTCGAGGGCGTGCGGAGCCTGCCGCTGCTGCTCAGCCGCGCCTCCGTGCGCACAGGTGAGGGCTTCCTGCTCGGCTCGTCCTGAGCCAGCTCCGCCGGGGCCGCTGGGAGCACGGTCCCCAGGGCTGGGTCTCTGGGCTGGGCCCTGGGCCCGGGCCGCCTGCGTCGAGGCCATGCAGGGCTGGGGCGGAGAAGGGCGCGGAGGGCATGGGAGGCCGTGGGGACTCTGGACGGCCTCTCGCCCCAGGCATCATCGGGAAGAAGCACGTGGGGCCGGAGGCGGTGTTCCCCTTCGACTTCGCGCACACGGAGGAGACCGACTCCGTGCTCCAGGTGGGCCGCAACATCACCAGGATTCGGCTGCTGGTCCGGGAGTTCCTGCGGACGGGGGACAGCAGGTGCAGAGGCCTCAGTCCAGACCCCGGGCGGTGGGCATGTGACGCACCCCAGAATCTTTCCTTGAGAGGGTTCTCCAGACAGTGGAATGGGGTAGGGGAGAAGGTTCCAGACACTCCAGTGAACCTGGTCAGAGGTCGAGGGCCCTGGGGAAACTGAGGCAGTGAGGCTCACAGGAGACTCTCAGTGACGGGAGCAGGCAAAGCCGAGGGGGCTCCTGCCTGAAGGAGGGGGCTCCCAGGGTCGCACACCAGGCCCTGGCACTGAGGCCCCGCCCTGCGCAGGCCCTTCTTCCTGTACGTCGCCTTCCACGACCCCCACCGCTGCGGCCACTCCCAGCCCCAGTATGGGGCCTTCTGCGAGAAGTTCGGCAACGGGGAGAGCGGCATGGGGCGCATCCCAGACTGGACCCCACAGGTCTACGACCCCCAGGATGTGCAGGTAGGGGGCTCTCCACGAGCTGGCAGCCCGGCCCCAGGTGTGACTTGGCTCAGAAGTGGTCCTTTGACCTGGGTCCAGGTCCCCTCTGCGGGGCCTGCAGAGAGAGGCGTGAGGACACAGGTGACGCATCCAACACCATGGACTTGGGGGCTGATCCATTCCCAGGAGGATTCAGGCCCCTGATTCAGGGCTGGACAGGTCCCGGCCTCTGTGCTGATGTGGCCTCTCCACCCCCTTGCCTCAGGTGCCGTACTTCGTCCCTGACACCCCGGCAGCCCGGGCTGACCTGGCCGCTCAGTACACCACCATCGGCCGCATGGACCAAGGTGGGTCAGGGAGTCCCGGTGTGGGGGTGTCCGTGCGGGCCAGGAGCCTGGGACCTGGAGGGTGTGGAGGGACTCCTGTCTCCGGCCCCTGCCCGACTGTCCCTGTCAGCCCCACAGGGAAGACCTGAGGTTCCAGAAAACAGGGCAGCAGTGGGTGTGTGGGGTGACACGGAAGTGCCGAGGGAGGGCCAGCTTGTGGCGGGGAGGAGGCTGGGAGGCCCTGCACACCTGCTCCGGGGCGGTGGGTTGGGCGCCGGGCAGTGCTGGGCAGAGGCCCAGGCTGGGGGGAGGGACAGTGCAGGGCCCAGGGCTGGTGAAGGAGGGAGAGCACGCACCGTCGGGTGGGGGAGGAGGGAGTGATCCGTGTCCGTCCATCTGCACTGAGCAGTGCCCTCCCCGCCCGCAGGGATCGGGCTGGTGCTGCAGGAGCTGCGGGCAGCCGGCGTCCTGAACGACACCCTGGTGATCTTCACCTCCGACAACGGCATCCCCTTCCCCAGCGGCAGGACCAACCTGTACTGGCCGGGCGCCGCGGAGCCCCTGCTGGTGTCGTCCCCGGAGCACCCGAGCCGCTGGGGCCAGGTCAGCGAGGCCTACGTGAGCCTCCTCGGTACGGCCTGCGCCTCACGGGAAGGGGAGTGCGGGCCACCAGGTCCGGGCTGTTTGCAACCACTCGCTGACGTGGTTCCCCCGGGTGGCTCAGAGAGGGGAAGTGAGTTGCCCAAGGCCACGCAGCGTGCAAGCGCCCAGCTGGGGTTCTAGCCGGGGCCTTGCCACCTTGCGACTTGCTTTCCCGCCGGCCCACCCTGAGCAAAGGGTGTTGCTGTCCAGATACCCACCCAGGTGCCTGCTCAGTAGGTCGGGGCTGGGGCCTGAGAGTGCGTCTCTGGCATTTTCCCAGGTGGGACCGATGCCGCAGCCCCAGGGATCCCGCTTTGAGGGGTCAGGGCAGCAGCACCCTCGGCCCTTTGGCCCCAAAGCACTTGTGGGAACGCTGTGGCCGCAGCTCAGAGCAGGAGCCGATGAGCCGGGTGGGGCTGCCTCACTGGCCCGAAGGGTCTTAGAAGGACCCTGAACGTCAGTCATGCAGAGAGAGCGGGCGGGCAGCAGGGACAGGTGCCGGCCGGGAGCTCCTCCCTGCTGATGGCTGAGGTGAGCGGCGGCCACCAGCTTCCCAGGCTCGGCCTTCCCTGGGGGCCTCGTGCCTGCCTGGCGCGTGCTGATGCGCCTCCCTCCCCGCAGACCTCACGCCCACCGTGCTGGACTGGTTCTCCATCCCTTACCCCCGCTACGCCATCTTCGGCTCCAAGACGGTCCGGCTCACTGGCCGGTCTCTCCTGCCGGCGCTGGACGCGGAGCCTGCCTGGTCCACGGTCTTCGGCAGCCAGAGCCACCACGAGGCCACCATGTTCTACCCGATGCGCTCCGTGCAGCGCGGGGCCCTGCGCCTGGTGCACAACCTGCACTTCCGGATGCCCTTCCCCATCGACCAGGACCTCTACGTGTCGCCCACCTTCCAGGACCTGCTGAATCGCACGGCGGCCGGCCGGCCCACGCGCTGGTACAAGGACCTGCACGGCTACTACTACCGGGAGCGCTGGGAGCTCTACGACCTCCGCCGTGACCCCCGCGAGACCCAGAACCTGGCCGCCGACCCGCGCTACGCCCCGGCGCTGGAGCTGCTGCGCGCCCAGCTGGCCAAGTGGCAGTGGGAGACCCAGGACCCCTGGGTGTGCGCCCCGGACGGGGTCCTGGAGGAGAGGCCCTCGCCCCAGTGCCGGCCCCTGCACAACGAGCTGTGAGCCGCACGCGCCTCCTCTAGGCCCGGTCCTCGCGCCCCTGCCAGGGAGGGCGTGGCCAGCCTCGGGCACAGGCACAGCCTCCTCCACGGGCACCCCAGGAGGGCGCTCCCTGATGCTGGCCTCTTTCCCGCCTCTGCCTGGAGGAGTATAGAGGGTGTCTCCACCATGCCATGGGACATCGCCACCCTGTCTGAGCCGTGTCCCGGCACAGGAATTCCAGGGCGACCTAGGACAGGTCTGGACAAGGGGTCATTTCCTTGGTTGGGTCCCGGGACCTTCATTCTCTGGAGCCACAGATGTCCATGCCCTTCCCGTGAGAGGAGCCGAGGGGCTGCGTGTGCCACATGGATGGAGACAGGTCCAACCCCACTCTGGGACTGCAGTGTTGGTTTTATCGATCTCTGGTCCTGAAGACACGGGGACACCGGGCCCAGTCCCCGGCCCTGGGCTGGTTTCCGGGGGACGCTCCCGGCAGGCTGAGTGGCAGGTCTGAGCCCGTGGGCATCCATCCTTTTGATGCCCACGGGTGCCGTCCGCAGGCCGGTCCCTTCTGTGGAGGACACAGGTCTAGCGCAGATGCCGCCCGAATGCTCCAGGCCCTGCCCTCCCGCGGCCGCTTTCTCTCCCAATGGGGGGCTCCTGTCACCCCGCCCTCCCCACCTCCTCCCTCCTGGGGGCGAGGCTGAGCCACAGGCCAGAACATTGTACACGCTTATTTTAGTCAAACATGCAAGTCCGTTTCTGAACTTTTTACAACAGCCTCCTGGGCATTTGTCTGCGGCTGGGCTGGGTGGGAGTCTGGGGGGCCTCCCCTGGGCCATGCCCAACTGTCTCCCGAGCCCTGGAGGCGGAGTCAGAGTCACGGTGGCCTGAGATGGGGGAGGGGGGCCACTGGTAGAGGCAGTCCTCAGCCCTGGAGGCGGAGTCAGAGTCACGGTGGCCTGAGATGGGGGAGGGGGGCCACTGGTAGAGGCAGTCCTCAGCCCTGGAGGAGCCCGTCTCGGGGCACAAACCCACCGAAGATACTGTGTCCGTCACTTGGAGACGATATTGGGGGTAAACAGTCTGAACGGCAATCACTGAGCGTCAGCCCCAGCAGCCGAGAGGACAGGGCTGGTGCTAGGCGGTCTGCTCCTCGCCTGGCAGGGGCGCCTGGCCTCGGCCGCCTCGGTGGGTGTGGGAGGAGCCTCTGCAGTGAAATGCAGAGCAAAGTGCAGGGTCGGTCGGATGGGCGCGATCTGGGGACACCTGGGCCTCCGGCTCTGGGGAGGCACCGTGACCCTGGTGGGGCGTCCTCGCGGTGTCGGTTCAGACCAAGCCAAGCCCTGGTGAGGAGACAGTTTACGCAGAAAAGAGCAGACGGTCTGAGTGCCCATTGGTGACCTGCACGTGGCGAGGGTGGTGGTCAGACTCCAGTGAGGGGACCGGAGGGGGTGTGTGCGGTGAGCACCCCAAGCTGAGCCCACAGGACAGGGTGTGAGGTCCACCAGCCGAGAGGACACAGCATCCGTTAGGGGGGGCTCTGCTCTGTCCACACCACCTTCTTCTGCTCGTCGGAGATGGCGAAGCGGACGCAGCTGAGCAGTGTGTCCAGGTCGCCCCAGCCCTCAGGGGCCAGGCTGCAGCAGGGGTGCGGCGCCCTGTCCAGCTCGCCCTCCTCCTGCCTGCTGGCCGCCAGGAGCTGCTCCTCCGAGGCGCCCAACCGCTGCAGGGCCTTCCTGCAGGGCCAGAGGCGGCTCAGGGGGACAGCGTGCTGCCCCGGCCATGCCCGGAGCTGGCCGGGCTCGGGATCCCAGGGGGCCAAACACCCCTGGGTGCAGCGGCCACTTTCATGGGGTCCTGAAGAGACAGGGCCCCAGACCACAGCCAGGTGGGAGCGGCGTCTAGTTTACAGCCTCAGGTGTGAAATTATAAAGGACCCAGGACACCTGGGCTTGTCCCCAGCCATGAACAAGCCACGGCCTCCAGGTGGTCCTCGCCACCGGGCGGGCCGGTCCCTGTGGCCCCAGCAGACGGGCCCTTAGTGCAGGG